CAACCAGTAAATACCGCCTTTTCAACAAAAGCAGAAGTCTTAAAAGCCATAAAATTATAAAAAACAGGAGAGTATCATGACCAGAGGAATCCCTGTAGAAGCACTGAAAGCGGACCCAGAGACTGCAGCAAACATGCTCAAAAGTTTTGGAAGGAATGAGATATACCTATCAACTGAAAGAAAGTCTAACTTGTTAAAGTACTTAAGTCTTTTAAACCGAACTAAAATACTGAGCCATATCATCTTGGAGGGCCTGAAAGATGTTCTGGATGGAAGAATTCTCTCGGAACATACTGGATTCAGGATACATAAATCATTCGCAAATCAAATTCCGACGCTACGCATCATCATCGAGCACAGCATAGAATGACAGACAACTTCAACTTCTTAAACTTTGAAAAGGCCTTCAACAGCTTTGACCGCTAATTAATTTGAAAAGTGCTTCAACGATAAAGAGTTTCCAGACTTTTATTGACTTCATTTAACAGGCGAGGATGTTGCATGTGAAGCGACTTATGACGAAAAGCCAGTGAGGAATGAAATGAAGACAGGAGTTAGACATTGATGCACACTATCACTGATTTCATCTCTGTGGTGTAACTATTTATAGGACAGTTAGTTGGGAATTGAGTTGATAGGTATGCTCTGGAACGATAAAATGATCCTAGAAAATATGTATTACGTAACTAATTTCTGCTTGAAATCCTCAAACGAAAATGCACAAGTTGTCAGAAAAGGCACTGAAAACAGGACTTCATTTGAACATAAAGACTGATTAACGAGGATAACCAACCAACAGCAAGAAGTGTTAGTCACCATCATCGGTCTTCATTAAAGTCTTTAATTACCCTAAATGGGCAGCATCTTTTCAAATACAGGTGACACATATGAGAATGTTAGAGCCAGAAAATATTGAAATGGGTAGGCAAGATAGGCCATTCATTACTCTGAAATAAATGTGAAGATCTACTGCACTCAACATAAAGAACGAGAAACGGACTTTGTCAAATCAAGGCTTTTATTCGGTTCATTGACTTGGTGCATTTCCCAAAGCATTTTCAACAGACTGCGGACCTTTGGTTACTTTTGCTTGATTACCAAAAAGTTTAATCAACGAGAAACACTGGTAACTAACCACCCAACAACCCAGAGCTGGCCTAACAAATATTCCGAAGGAAATAGAGATGGGTAGAACACATACTGGGAACACATTCATGTGGCACTATACACCAGGTCCTCGTCAGAAATCCGAGTGGAAAGCAGCGGGTTGGGTGCAATTCTAAGAGATGCATAAAGAAAAACTTATGAAGAGAAAACGAAACCTTTTAGATGATATTGCAGCTACTTAGAAATGGTGGCAGAGAACTGAGTCCTACGTTCCACTCGGAATGCTAGGAATGAATGGTAAATAACAATACATAAAATGTTTCATAGTAATTAATGACATTTCGCTTAAAACACAATGATAATTTCATCGTTAAATATAAATAAATATAAATATATAAATCATTTCTTCCTAGAATTCACGTATAATTCTCCGAATTATCTTTTTATAAAATCAGATGCTAAACGATATTAATGAAAATGAATGTGATACAAATAGCAGGTTTTAGAAAACAAGTATTTATGTGAGTAGCTATTACAGTACATAATAAAATAATCGCGGAAAATAACCACTAATTGAAATATTATCGATCATTTGGGTGAATTTATAATTTGTAATGTTTACAAAATGATTTAATCAAACTATTCTGTGACGGACATTCAGCAACACATGCCTTTCCTCCATAATGAATATCAGATGGCTGGCGAGAAAGGATAAGTAACAAAGAACCCTGCCAGGTGGCGGACATCGTGGCTGGCCGAGCAAATATGCAGCAAGAAATGGAGATGGATTGAGCATACGATGAGGAGACATTCAAGTGATATCACACAGCAGATCATTGGCTGAAAACTGAATGAGAAGTGACGTTTTAGTCAGGAGTTGGAGTCTGAAATGGACGAGATCACATGTGAGGAAAAGAGAAAATTGTGGTCAATAGTTGATCCAGTTTGAGGTGATGACAGATAACCAAGTGCATTGATGATGTGCCTCAGTAGAAATGCAAAATAAAATTCTTTGACTGACGTCTTTATTCATATAGGGATTTATGACTGTAATTTAGATTATCATAACAGCAGAACTTGAGTGTTGCTAAGGCATAGTTATATGTTTGACTTAGTACTAACTGGTACCATATGATTAACCTGATAACATTCCAAGCTTGGTTTATTGTTCATGTACATATCATGGTAGTCACATGGCTTTTGTACCTACTCTGTACAGCTCTGCTCTTTACTCTAGCACTTTGTAGATTTATTGAGAATTGGTGTTATGTCATCTTTATTACATATGCTAAGTGTTAATTCAGTAGCACGTCTGCTTTTCCACTAACTACACTTCACTTTGAAACTTACTCTGTCCAACCTATTGTGTGCTAATGCATACATAACAGTAGGCGAGATTTTCAGATACTATTTGCCGAATCGGTTTTTGTGACTTGAATTTTTATGTTATGATAACTTTACCGACTCTAATCAACACATATGACGTATTTATATGAACTTGTAGGGATCATATGATGTTGAGTAAATTAAATCATTTTAGTTTAATTCACTCAGTCAGTCAATAAACTATGGCTAAAGAATTCATTTATAAATCAGAGGCAGATGAAATTTTTATGAAAAAATTGAAATAAATTTATCATAGGCGAAAACCATAAAAAATTACAAAATAATTTCTTCCACTAGTCAATACGATACGTGTATTTTAAGAAGTAAAGATTAGCTGGAAAACTGTAATCACGTTTTCAGTTAGTATAATGCATGCAGATATCAGAAGATTTTTTTTTTTTGATTACAGCTTGACTCCACACTGTATTTTTGGTACAAGTATGGAATTTTCAGCGTGGATATCGGTAGCCCAAAATTCGCAGGCCGACCATAGATATCAGGTGTGCGTCGGCGAGAGCTCGAACCCCGGACCATGTGCATGGTCGGCGAGAGTCCTAACCACTGTGCCACCGACGCACAATTTAGCCACCATGAACATAACTGCATGGTGGCTTGCAAAAATAGAGTGTTTAACACTATTGCCAAAATAGTGGTGAATTTTTCGTGGCATTTTCGTTTACCTCAAGCCTAATTTTGTTTCATATTTACTGCAGTGAATTAGAATTTTTAGATACGAAAGTTATTTTGTCGGTGTATTATTTACGCCATAATCGAATGAACTGCAACTTAGAAGTATTATTATTATTCCCTTTAGTTCTTAGAGGAACATAGGCCATCTGCCGCACATATCAATTGATTACAGTTCTCTGCCAACTTTTTCACTTATCTCCACGTCTGCCGATATGCTTTCATCTCCTCTTTACATGACCTCCTCTATGTCCCCCTCGCACTGACGACCATTTCGCCTCTTCCCATTCGGTTTCCACTCGAACGATGGCCTGTTTGTGATGTCACTTGATGGTTTTCTCAGAGTATGGCCTATCCACTTCGATTCCTTCCTGTTTATTTGTTGCACAATTGGTCTCTGGTTGGTTTTCAGAGATCCCTCATTGTTGCTGATCTTTTCTGGTCATTGATCTTAAAGACTGACTGAAACAGCTGTTGATGAAGGTTTGTAGCTTAACACAATCTGAACTGCTTTTTATCTTGTTTTGTAGATCACTGAAACCATATTACATAGCTTCATGATTAAGTCTTTTGAACTCAAAGGATTTCGTGACAGACCAATTTTTGAAAAATATTAGATCGTTGGAGGCAATCGGTAGGAAGCCTTAGACCTATGTTTCGTGATGGTTGGCACTCGTCAGCAAGGCGTATCTCACCTATTTTTATTTTCTAAGTCTTCAGAAAGATCACTTTGAATTATACTGGTTAATTACAGTAGTCTGTAATTTATACAAACGATTAAGCTATAACAGTAATGATAGTAAACCTAACTACAAAGCTGAAGCAAGGAAACTAAAAACATTACTTATTTTCATCTGGTTAGCACTTTAACGTAACTAAACAGTGGTTAAATTCAGTCAGTGGTTGAAGGTTGTACTGAAGAAAATGTTGTCTGTGGTGAGGTGTGCGACAAACACGCAGGCGTTTCGGAGTTAGGTTCCCTACAACGCAAAAAAAATTAACACGTTTACTTAAGAAACCCTATGTTCTACTGGGTGCTCTGTAATATAACTCAGATCAAATATATAATTATATATATATATATATATACCTACACTAAGAAAAAGATATATCTCGATTACTAATATTTTACTAACCCTAATACAATGTCCATAATGATCTTTAGTACAAAGACATGCCAGTCTATTTTCGAAATTATAACTAAATAATTACACAGAAGACTGACAAAAAAGCAGCACTGAAACCGAAACATATTTATCTACAGACAAATTCACTTCTATTCGCCTTTTAATCATAACATTTGATGTTAGACCCTTACCTAGAGAGTTTATTTTAACGAAAACAAAATGTATGGAATAAATAACTTTCATTTTTGTTATAATTTGGGAAGAACGGAAGAAAACAATTTAATTGAGTGAATCGGCCACTTGACAAAACGACTGCTATCTTCCTATTGGTTATCTAATTAGACAACAGACCAATAAAATAGAGAATCAATTTTCTGTTCATTAAATGATTGGTTAATTAAACAACGTTAATCGAACAATGTTGTGAAATGCTTAAGCACATGACAGAAGCTACACGCATACACTGAAGAATATCATCACATGAATTGTTTAGAATATTACTCACAAATTTCGCCGACATCAATTAGAGGAATAATATATTACGTACAGAAAAATTAATTCAATAGTGCATTTGAACCCACTGTTGACAACTCTCATGTACATCTAATACTGTTTCGTATTATCTTTAAATAATACAGATATCTTATGCAGCTGATATATTTTACCAAGATTTGTTGTAAGTAATTTGCGAAAATGGAAACTATAAAGGAAAATGTAAGTTTCTCTGTCGATCATTTAGACTTTTTTAAATATTACTACAAAAGCATTACTTTATCGTTTCTGAATGGATGAGTATTATTATGTGGTTGCCATGCTGTTGCAGTTCACATATTTTGAAATGGTTTAAGCGCACAGTTAGCTGTAATAACATATTCTAACTACGACTTTCTTCGCATGATTGGGTTTACTTCAATATCGGTCATTTGGAGATTTGCTGTTTGATTTATGCTTATCTAATAGATTTATTTTACTTTACCTTTATAACTTAACCGAGCCTTCTAATTATCATTCAGTGTACTGCAATATGCCACTGATGTATATTCACAGAAATTGTCCCATCACCACAGTAACAGAATAAACTTTTCTTAGAACCAAAGTGAAAACAAAAATTAACAGAGTAAATTATTATTCTTTGCGCTACACTATGTTTAGAATTCACCACTCGTTTTATAATTCCAATGCAGGTGAAGGATAAGCTATCAAGCATGGTCACCCCAGTGTGCATTTATGAATTTAACTGTGTTCTTGTGGAGACAGGTAGAATGCCAGGTAAGCTTCCATCGCCTTCTTGAGCATTGCCCGAAATGACTAGATAAAGAAGTTGCAAAGTCAGTCAAGAATTCCCTATTGGCACACCTTGTGGATACAGGGGACAAGACTGATAGCAATTCAATCTATATAATTCTATAAAAGATGCCACCTCAATTCCCTAAGTCTTTACATCTTTGGTTGCTATGTTTAGCTGAGGGAGTTTCCATAAAAAGCTCGACTTACAAAAGTTATCTCTCCCGGTGACACCCAAAAACCGTAAATATTATTTCTATTTGTACTCATAACTTTATTATTGATATTAATACTGTGCTATAATTGCATATCTTAGTTTCACAATTTATTATTATTATATGTTATCTAATCGCAATGTGAGAATAGTTATCTTCCCCTCTACCCTTACTTGTGCACACATTCGACTCGATTAAATGTGATTTTATTGATCTGTATTGTTTCAAATTCCTATGACTAATATTTTATTATGTAATTGTAAAGCCTGATGAGAATATACCGAAAACATTGACTTTGTCAGCGAAGGCTCACTTTCTTGACGAATACACGTTAGTGATTGTTTACTTTTGTTGCTGGCCCTCTCTTACTTAGTAATTTAACTCTCTTGTTATATCGTCATACAACTTTGTAATTGTAGTAAAATTTCTTTGTGGAATACTATAAGAAACGAGAATTTCTCATCACTTGCGGATGAAATCTTGATGAAAAACTTAACCGATAGGATTTGACAACTCGTTGACGTTTTATTTCTTATCAGTAGACGTCGCAAGTATACAACTGCTACAACTTACAGTCAAAAATTCTTATAAAAAACTGGGGAATCAAGAGAGCTAATTTTATATGAACAGTACATTTGATAATTTTGGTGGATATGCATATGGAGAATATTCTGATATGTAAATTGCATTCCATTCATTTAAATGCTACATTTAGAATAAGCAGGTGTTGGTAACATGGTACAAAATCTTTCCCAGTAGTTTAGATGAATCTACACCTTATGAACTCTCAGATGCATTGTATTCTCATTATTCTATATGTGTTTATTCTTTCTTCAGTATGAATTTCCGTTAAAATGATAGGCTTTTCCATTGTGAAGCATGGTGGTTTGAATTGTTGCACTTTTGTGTAAAATTCTACATCGAAAACTCAGCCAATGAGAATTTCCAATGGAAACCTTAGCGTAATTAAAGAAATAGCTGTTTTAAAACATCCTTATAAAGATTTCATCTAAAAAAAATAATCTATGATCTGAATCATACAATTTTAAACGTCTGTTTTGTTATACTAGCTTACTTACTTTGTAATTGTGTGAAATAGTTATACAAACAAAAAATATTGTCTACATTCATTATCAAGGCTAAAACCTTTAGAAATGAGTCACTTCTAACAGAGATTTTTGATGTACAAGGTCATGAACCACTCGTATTGTTTTGAAGTCTGATGATAGTATGCATTTTCTCAAGCCGAGTTAGGTGTAGTGCTTACAAAATAAAATATACAGGTTTATTTAAGTGCATTATCATTCTATCTGCTGATCTTTCCTGGTCGTCTCATATCTTGATGATTTCTAAGAAAATATTCCTTCTTACTTTCTACATCAAGAAGTTAAGACTCTTACTCCTACAGTTCGTTAACTCTCGCATTCCGCCTATTATTCTCTATTGTTCCCACTTAGTTTTCCCAGGGCTACTGAAGAAAGACTATATCTTATTACGCAGGATGTTAAAGGTTGTCAGCAGGGTAAGCTACGTGCTACTTATCCAGCTTGTTAATATTCTGGTTGGCAGGCATATGGACTCATGTGAAAGATGGGCTAACTCCATTTTATCTCACGCACACCACCCTCTTCATTCACAACTCTTCCCTTGTATCTCATCAGACAGAACCAGAAGCCTATATAGGAAACTATATGCTCGCACTAGTAAGTACAAAAACTCATCCATACCCTACTTAGCTCGTGTTCTGTGCGATAAAGGAAGCATTAGGCGTGAAACCTTTAACTTATTAAATAGTCAGAGGAACAACTGGATCTCGTCTTTCCAACTCATATCATTCATAGGTACAACATTTTTATTTATTTCTTTTACTTTTCTCTCTCTCCCTCGTTTTTCTCTGTTATGTACTCCTTTGTTTCTTTCTTCTGCTTACACCAGTAAATATGCTAGCACCTAGTTTTCTAACACCTTCAAACACTGTTTAATTTTGGCTTTGCTATTGACATGCTAATATGTTGTTGTCAAAACTAACTGAGATTACCCATAATCTATGTAGAATTTTATTTATTGTTAATGTACTAACTGGATGCACTATTGTAGTAAAATGCTGAGAATTCCATTCTGTATCGCAATTACTGTTTTGGAATAAAGTATATTATTATTATGAGTTGTGTCAGTCATATATTTCGAATAGTGTACCAAAGTACTGTTTCCCTTGACAGCTATCATCGGTGACAGAAGTTTATTTAAAGTTTAAAACGTTAAACATAAGTATTTTTTGATGAGGGGGGTGGAGAGATTTTAATCCAGTACATATTTTTATCATATGCATAAATTGCTGTGTTGTTGTTTTTCTTTAGCCTGATGATACAACTCCAAAACCGCGTCCTTCTTGTCTAAAAGTTCCAACCTTTCATATTGAACCTTATAGATCTTCATCTACTATCAATGATTTTGATCCAGTATACAACTATAGTAATGCAGATGGAGATGATGTAGAAGTTGAAATTGATTTAGAGAAGTTATCGCCTCCACTACCACCAGATGGAGGTTGGGGTTGGTTAATTGTATTCGGAAGCTTTTTATGCATGGTACTTGTGGATGGAATGTGCTTTTCTTATGGAATATTTCTAAGTGAATTAGAAGAAACATTTGCTGCTTCAAAAACTCAGATGACATTAGGTGGATCCCTGTTGACTGGTTTCTATTTTATGGTTGGTAAGTTATTAAGAGAAATTTGTACATTTGTTTTTTCTAACATCATGTTTACGTTCAAAGTGTCAGGGGATTTCTGATATCTATTCAAGGTTTGATACGAAAAAATAATTTATGGCGTTGGAAAATATTTAAATATGTGGTCAAAATTTTCTAAAAAGGCTTAAACGATTACTGAAATTAATCTTCAGGAATTTCGCTAGTGAAGTGAATAGGAAATTTATTGTAACTCATTTCAATGAAATCGTAACAAAGTGAAAATACTAAACGAAAATAAAAGATTGCTAAATGTAACATTATTTTGAAGGAAATGAATTTTAAAATATCCAATATTCCTTGAACTGTCTAAAATATTTATAGAAAAACTTGATACACCCTAACAGGATACATAATATAGGAAAAGGAAATGTTAACGAATTTTAAGCTGTAATAAGTTCTAACGTTATTTGGGTAGTTCAGACTGGATATTAGATGACTGAAGTTAAGGTGGGCTTGTATCTTGTTTCTAAGTAAGATAGTATTAAGATATACTAATCTTATTGTGTCTTATTATTTTGATTGGATGGAGGATTTCATCATGAGCTGACATCACTTAGGGAACCACTGGAAAATCAGCTGTGAGTACTGGACAGCTGTTTTGTCCTAGTTTGGGACTCCTCATCAGTGCACACTCATCGGAGTTCGAACCCAGGTTCTTCTGGTTTCAAGGCTAGCGAGCTCGTAGACCAATGAGCCACTGGGACCCGATCCAATGGTTAACCGTTTCCCCTCATTTTCGTCTATAGAGTTGTATCTTTTTGTAGCATAGAGTCAGTTATTGAGTCCTCTTCTTAGTGTTAGACTACTTTTGGATTGATTATCTGGACTGAATTTTCACATAGTGTTCACTTTGTATTTGCTCTATCAAGAGGTGGTGAATAATCAATATTTTGGAAAGTCCCTTTCCCAAATAAAGATTGTCATTATTACGTGTATGGTCGGATAAATAAATACAAGAATTCATTTTCTTCAGTGTGTATTTTCAAACAGGTAATTTTACATAATGGGGAGCTTACCTAGTTTCAAACGTCTCGATGGAAGTAGTGATTATTTTTGGTTTCATTTCTTCACGTTCCCAGTGGAACGTAGGGCTTCAAGCTAGAGACTTGAATTTTCTGCAGAAGTGGTGATTATTTTTGCAGGATGGGGTTGCTAGCCTCATGTGTGCGTCGGTGGCACAGTGGTTAGGACTCTCGCCGACCATGCACATGGTCCGGGGTTCGAGCCCACGCCGGCGCACACCTGATATCTATGGTCGGCCTGCAAAATTTGGGCTACCGATATCCATGCTGAAAATTCCATACTTGTACCAAAAATACAGTGTGGAATCAAGCTGTAAATCAAAAATAAAAAAATAAATAAAATGCCCACCTTTTCCTCTTTACCAGCTTTATTGCTAGCCTAGCGAGGTAAAGGAGTGCGTCGGCGGTGGATCAAACCCCGGATCACCTGTGTGATCGGCGAGCATTTTATCGCTGTGCCACCGACTATCGTAAATACTTCATCAGTTATCCTCCACAAACTCCATCAAGATCTGTTTCAAACCTCAAGAAAGGTGAAAGTATTTCAGGAGGTAGTCAGTATAATTCGATCTATATTAGGAAATGTAGGCCGACCAATACTCATATTTAAGAAAGTTACTTAACTGTCATGTTAACTGACATGAATTTAGGTTTTAGTGACAGTTTAAGCTAACTTAATTTCTTAGCTATGCCTTCGCATTATGGATAAATTCAATTGTTATGTCACTCGACAGCTTCTGTAAAAATCTTGGATACCATTCCAACTACATGATAACACATTCTTTGATCTCAGAGTGACTGATTGATCATTTTATTGTCTGAGGTGTGTAATAACTTTTGAAAAATGTCTGTCTACCACAATGAAATTAGTTTTTATTTATTTTGCCCACATATTTTCTATAGTTGGTATTGGCAACTACTACTATAAATTCCATTTTGTTAAGTGAAAGACTTAACAAAAAAATTTTGATGCTTATCAGTACATAAATTTTTTAACAATACAAAAAGCATTAGAGAAATTAAATCCCACTTGATTTTACAAAAGATAATTTTTAAATGTCTACTTTGCAAAATAAAAAAAAACACATTGGTAATGAACGGTTGAAATTTCTCTGTCTATCTACTAAACAAAATCTGATTTTTCTTCCTCTAATTTATTGATTACACATTAGTAGGTGGAAAAGGCGTAGATAGTGCCTGTAAAAATTATTTGAAGCGTACAAAATAAAAAAAATTTACGGACTAACCTAACAACACATACTTATATCTTGACTGCTTACAATAAACTGACTCTAATGGTTAAGCATTTATATAATCCCAGTGTTTTGCATATAGGTTGTTAATGTCATTTACCATAGAGAAGTCTTATCATCATACATAATGGAGTGTGGAAAAATTGACACTTTGGATAACAATTAAAAATAAAATAGATGTATATATACATAAGTGTGCATGTGCGTGTTTGTGTGTCTGTGTGTGTTTAACTCTGATCTTCAGTGTTTTTTAACCACAACAATGAAGAAGAAGAAGAAATGTGTTTGTATAAACAATAAGATAGATGGTTATTAGTTTATGTGATATTGAAGTAAATGAGCATTAATAAAGCCTCTATAAGCTTGCAACACTAATGTCACACCTTTTTAACTGACGTTCTATCTAAATTAGACAATTGTTTTTTGTCTTGTCTAATGAATGATCTTATTTCAGGACAAGAGTTAAGAGTTTTATCGGTTGTATTTTTAATAGAATTTTAAAAATTTAAATATAATGTTAAGTATTTTTTTTGTTTACAATAATGTAATTAGAAATTAAACTTTTGCAATGCTAAATGTATTTGTAAAAGCTAAATTATCTCAAAGGTATGAAAAATAATGATTCTCTTGAGTTCAGTTACTTCAGTTAGTAGTCTGGAGTAAAATGTTAAGTACGTTGTGATGTTATTTGATAAGAACAGATCAATACAGCAATTCAAGACATCTTTAAGATAAAATTAGAAGAACCTTTCAGCTATCTTCTGTAGTGAATGTACGGAGAAACCCTCAACTGCTTCGAATAAATCCTTGAATTAAAATGTATATTAGTAAATTTAATTGGTGGATGTTGACTAGCAATTGGATCCATTATGCGTATTTCGTCCTATTTTGAACTCGTCAACTGGATGTACCTGTATTCCTCAGTGAGTGATGGTGTTCCCAATGAGGCTCGAACCCAGTGGTCATAGTTTTAAAAGCCAAATTGTTATACACTAGACCACTTGGGCCAGAAGAGCCACCCTTTGTGCAACGGGTCATATTAATTACTTAATTCGATTTTAGATTTTCCCATCGATTGATTGGACCAAAGTGCTCAGTCTCTAGTTGACATGTCAGCTTCTTGTGAAGATGCTTAGATGATGTCTTGGCGTGTAATGAGAAGTTAATTGATGGATTGTGACTAGCACTGGAATCCAGGACACGTATTTCGTCCTATTTGGGACTGGTCATCTGGATGTTCTGGCAATCCAATTAATCGACGGGAAAATCTGAAACTGAATTAAAGTAGATTAGTAAAGTTGAAATTCCTAGTCATAAAATTAGATAAGCTAATAAACTTTCGAAAGCTTGTTGATGAAAACATTTAGATTTTGTTGCATCTCCAATTCAAAGTATAGCATATATGAAGGTATTCTTTTAGTAAAATTTGTTTGGTGAAAGTCCAAGAGTTCTAACACTATAAAATCACTGATTTCTGATATAATGCTCTGATGAAGTAGTCTCTTTCATTTGTTTAGAAGTCATTTTAAATGTTCAGTAACACCTAAACATTGAGCCTAGGTGGTAAGGTGTAATTTACACTTAATATTACTAAAACTCGTGGATAACCTAATGTTTTAAGTCCTATTAGTCTTTCTTTTCTCTAGCATGCTTTTGGTATAACATTTAACTTAGTTGTATTTTTATGCTTTGTCACACCATTGACAATTAAAACTTTTTAGAAAACTAATTTATGTAGGTTCAAAATCATTTGAAACGTCCTTGAAAAAAGAAAAACTCAAGAATTCTAATGACTTAGTCATTTCTTCATAGAATGGTATGATGTTGTGGTTTAAAGAAGAATACGGCTTTGAAAAGTGTTTTCAAATGTTCTGAGAAAAAAAGCATCCTCGAGCTGCATATAAATTATTTTATTAGATATCTGAAGTCAATGAAATCTCGTACCATATTATTTATCAGGTGATAGTTTTCGTCAAAATGTGCAAAAAATATTTTGAAGAAGGAAAAATGAATGATGCAACAGTTTCTTTCATGATCAAGTGGTTACTAAATAAACATCACCCGCCTTCTTGGCGATTGCAAATCAGTTAAATGGATATGCTGATCATAATTAAAGACGTTATGATTGTAGGAAGTTTTTTTTTGTTTTAAGGTTACACAAAGTATTTTTTAGAGAGACAAGGCAATAAAACTTTGATTTTCAGCCTTATATAGGATACTGATACTTCTGATCTTAAATGTCTGTTACTTAGCTTCTAATTAAACCAACGATTAGTTAGTTTTGCTAATTGCCTTTGAAAATTATTTTAACTTTTCAAATAAAAGATAAACCAGCATCGTTGGAAAAACTGTTTTCAGTCACGTTGTGTATTGTCAGGTTGTCCGTCCAATAGCTTCTGCATTGATGTGTTGGTCAGTTTGGCATGTTGTGATGATTATCTGAGCTCTACTGGCTGAAATATATGTTCCTGAAGGCTGTATCAGGAAAATTTGGTTGGATAGCTGTCACCATTATAAGATACGTTGGTTACTGTTTAATGGGAGTCTAAGGGTGAAGTCATACTATTAACAGATAAGCGTTTAAAAGCAGTAAGGTGTTTTCATCTAGCAACCGGCACTCGAACCATGCTGTTTTCCAGTTTTAGGGAGAAGGGGCTAAAAAAGTTCACACTAAAAATTTATATGTCTCTGTACTTCCTACGATTGCACGACGCTGGCAGTAAGGTCTTGTGTACCGACGAAATTTCACACGCTGCAGCTGTAGATGTGCTAGGTGTAACCTGTCTTAGGCAGCACTGCTTTTGGCTGAGCAGTTACGCAAAACTACTATTTTTGTCTCTTACAGAACCACAGGAAATGATCAACGTCTATAGTTTAGGGAATCAGTAAGTAAAAAATATCTACACACCTCCATAAGGATACAAAGTTATCCATTTCATCACCGATGTTCATCTTCTGTCTTCTCTACCACCACTAGCACTGTTGCACGAATGCATTTGCCTCCTCTTAACTGTGCGGTGATTGCTAGAGGCTGAAAGCAGAGAAACAGTAAATTCAGATTCTTAAATATAAGCTGTCAACTTCATATTGGGACTTTCAATTTCCGAACCTTATACCAAGTCGAATAAACTCTGACACCTCGTGCTGTACATGAGACAAACACAAAACATTCAGGTATGGATATTTACTCAGCCTCACTTGACCAGTATTCACCCTACAGACGTCAAGAAACACTTTGGTTAGTTCTAGTGAACTTGTCAGTGTGGGTAGTGTTGAGTCAAGAAAATGGAGCTCATTGCCTGACTTCAATATAGTGAATGGTCTTCTGTTTAGTGTCTGCCTGGATGGGTCTGTAAGAATAGGAATCTGTCGTGGTACTTTTTGGGTTTTTTTTTCACAATATGTCAACCCACTAATGCCAGTTTGATTGAAGTGAAGAGGAGTTTTTATGTTAAGTCATCTAGTCTACTGTAAAAGTAAAAGCACCCACACATATGTAGTCATATTGGCGGATAGTTTTAATGCTTAGGTAAGGGTAATGTTAGCATTCAATTTCTCAGGTTGAATTAGGTCGGTTGGCTTTTGAATCGACAACTGGTTGGCTGAACATCTAGTAGTCGACAGTGGATTTTCACAGCTTCATCTTAACTGGTCAAGCCAAGAAGAACATTCCCTGTTTTACTTCAAACACATCAAAAATGGTTGAACAGCTAGGTTATGCAAACTGGCACAATCAAGACAATAAGCATTTTTTCAGTGCTCGTAATGAAATTTTATAACCACCTTATCATTTATCAATATTAGCGTTCTAACTCAAAGCGAATTTTAGGTTTTATTAACCCGTTCGTTTTAATTATATTTTTGATTCTTAGGGGCTTGAGCTACTTAGTACTTATAATAAGATTTAGAATAAACACGTAATTGGATAAGATTTTATTTTGATAAATCACACAGTATAATGCAGTAATATTAACTGATGACGTTTTGAGCACAAAATATGTCTCATAATCATATCAGAGTACTCACACAACTTTCTAACTTCGTTTATATAACTCTATTATTTTTCGTCGATTCATTTAACTGGTAGTAGCATTTTCCATATTTCCAGTATGAGTGATGAGTCATTCCTAGTGCACTTGTAGGGTGTAGACTCGATAAACCAAGATTCAGTAATCAATCTCTCACTCTCCACCTACATAAATTTATTCTTAGAATTTCAACCTCTCCCACTCTATTGTGTGGTTGTGTGTTAATGCATGCAGTGTAATTCCTGAGCTTTTTTCTAAATTACTCATTTTCTCGGGTCAACCATTCTTACCTTAGCTAAATTCTTATGTTCCGACAATCTGATTACCCCTGACCTACTGGTTTGACCTATGTAGTTGACCTCACTCACAGTCATTGCAAGGTATTTTGTAAATTATATTATTTTGTTTAATTGGGTCAACTGGGTCCCTGAGTGAGTTTGTAGGTTTGAATGCCACTCTAATTTCTGTTTAATTAATCATCCTACGTAGGGTCTCGGATGTCTCCTCCTTATATGGTATAACAATAGATACCTTATATTCTCTCTTATTTATGCTATCTTTACTAGTTTCACAATTATTTCTACTTTGCTTTGGCCTTTTCTGATCTCTCTGATGAATTTTCATGGGATACTTATTTGATACCTAACGCTTTTTCTATCTGTTTTATTTCATCATTTAGATCTTTTTTGGACTACTTAGTGCTACTGCTCAGTTTGTTAGACACTTAACCAAGCCTGCTTTAACAGTTAACGGATGAGAAGAATTAAAGTCTAAATTTCTATTTGTAGAATGCGTTTGTTTTTTTATAAAAAGTAGAGTTCAGTTTACCTTCTATTCGTTTTATTTTACAATCTAACATAGCTAATTCTCCTTGTTCATTTTCTGATTCAAATGTGAATTTTATTCCCTATACTAGTGAGTTTATATGCTTGAAGAGACTATATATATCTTCCGTTTTTAACACTGTGAAAGTGTTATCCACATATCTCCACCAAAAATATGGTGGTCAAACTAGTTGGTCGGGGGTAGTCAGATTGTCAGAACATAAGAATTTAGCTAAGGTAAGAATGGTTGACCTCGAGAAGATAAGTAATTTAGAAAAAAGCTCACCTACTGCACTGCATGCTTTAACACACAATAGGGTGTGAGGGGGGTATACTTCTAAGAAGTAATATAGGTAGTTGGAGAGAGAGAGAGATTGATTACTGAATCCTAGTTCATTGGGTCTACACAGAACACATACAACAGAAATGACTCAATGCAAATACCAGAAATATGGAAGATATTATTACCACCAGTGAAATCAGAGAAGGATAAGAAATAATCTTAAAATTCTATTTCAATTCAAGTACATGACAACATTCTAACAAGTTACTTATTTTGACTATGAAAACAGACGTCTTATTTTCCATCTGATTGTAATTGATCAATAACTCTCGTATTATTATTTCTAAATGTACATTAACCTATATTGAAATTTATTCAAATATCTAGTCAGTTCCACACATGTATATAAAATGAAACAAAAAGTTGCGTGAGTAGTGCTTTCATATGATTATGAGCAATAATTTATGGTCAAAACGTCTTCAGTTAATATTACTGTACAACACTGTGTGGTTTATCAAAATAAAATCTTATCCATAATGGAGTTATACTCTACCACAGTGCCCAAGTTTTATACTTATATCAACTATACGTAATAGTTAGCTAATTTTGCAGTTATTTTTAAAGAGGTTTGTTGAATAAGTAACAGTTTCTCTGGCTCACCGATTATTCATCAGAAAATGGAGTGCATCACTATTGTTGAAATTACATCTGGATTAAAATACTTCTGTAATTTAAAGCAAAATAAATATTGATTTTATTCTTAAGTAAAAGGTTAGCGAATTGCTTGTTATGATTTTTACATGCGGTTAACACGCTCGCCGACCATGTATATGGTCCGGGATTCGACCCCGGCCGGCGCATCCTTTAACTCACTGAGCCAGAAATAATCCTGGTAAAGAGGAAGGTTGGGCATGAGGCTAGCAACCCCATCCTGTAAAAATTTAACACTGCTACAGAAACTTCAAGCGACTAGCTTGAAGCCCTATGTTCCACTGGGAACGTGAAGGAAAAAAAATATGCACTTAGACTCAAGGAAATAGAATGTCTCATAATGCTGAATTATAAATCTTCACTATCACTGACAAATGACATACCTACAACTCTGAAGAAGTTAAAAGAAACTGTTAAGTACCAAATTAAAAAATCTCACTACAATAAATTAAAAGAGGAATCTTGAACATAAAATCTAGTTGCTTTTATAACTGCATTAACACCAATTTAACTTCAGTGAGTTTTCCAACACGCAACAGTTTTAGGCATCGTGATTCCTGAAAATTTCTTGATTTCAGCTTCGTATGTGTTTCCGGTTGAAAGATGAATATCTCTTTAGCATGATTCAGTTCCCTTCTAATTACGTTTTTTTTTCTAATGAGAATTTTATTCATTAAAAACTATAAATTCATTTATTATCACTCAGATTTCCAGTATAACTAGCTTTTTTAATTAGTGATTTGAGTCATATTTCGATTTTTGAGGGCTTTGATTCTATTCATTAGGGGTTATATGGGAATGAATAAAACAGGATAGGAAAATAGGAAGCAGTGGTTATAATTCTATTGCTTCAAATATACACTGCTGAAAATAGGAGAGGTAGTCTTTTCATACGATTTTGTGTCATACTCTATTCAATGATAGTACAGTTTAAACAGGAGCGTAGAAAGTGGACAGTATTAAAAATAAGCAGTTTCAACTTGGAAGAACACTGGTGTTTTCCTTTTAATATCTATTTTTAGCAAAACTTTTAAAGGTAAACAAAACTCCATGCATTAATGTATTTTTCATTTCTTTCATTACTGGATTTATCGAGACAAATGCAAAAAATCATTTTTATATGACTAAGTTTTAATTTAATAGTGAAGGTACTGGTTCAGCATGCATCCAGTAGTACACAAGTTTTCAGTGTGACTTGGTAAGCAGAACATATTTAACCATATGTGTACCACAGAAACTAGTATTTGTGCATAAATTTACATTCACAAGAATATACTCCACATTTGATAACACAAAAATGCTCCTCAAGTAAAATGTGAAGGATAGTCCATAACATCTAAGCAGTACATACTAATACGTTTAAAAAAATACCTGTGAATGTACTATGAGTTGTGTCCTTTTTTGGAGAATAAACTGATTTTTATTTCCTATTTTTTAGGTCCCCCTGTAAGTGGTCTGTTAAACAGATTTGGTTCAAGAGAAATTGTTTTTGTTGGCACGTTAATCTCAACAGTGTCAATTTTTACGAGTACATTTATTTACAACTTAAACTGGTTCATCGTAGTGTTTGGTATTTTCGGTGGTAAGTCATTGTTATTTGCTTCTGTGTAAAATTTGTCGAGAAAATTTTTGAATTCACAAAATCAAGATATTTTCTTTGGTTTGAATAGTTATAGTCGCTTTTTGTGCATTTAGTTTCTTATAGTGTCATAACGCAGAAAAAACTTTGTAAACTGATTGCTTGATGCTAGTCAATGGTACTGTGGATGACTGGCTAGTACTCAAGGTAAGGAGGGGGAATCAATCAACGAGTCTGTGAAATTACATCGACTGAGATGGTTAGGTCATGTGCCTCGACTGACGGGCAATGTTAGCTGACATAGGGTCAGGCTGGAAAAGAGCTAGTGGAGGTCAAACCAAAACATGGCTTCACCAGTCAATGAAATCCACAACAGTTAGTTTAAGCCACGTAGGAAGGTGTCGACTTCCTGACTGGTTGGGGTCCTCGGGACGGTAAAAACCAATGGTTGGAAACAATTGGTGATATGGCTCAAGATCGATCTGAATGGCTGGTGCAGATGCATCCACTCCTTGGGACCTATGATTTCCAATGAAACCATATTTTTCTTCGTTATTACTATTCCTTTGTCTCACACCTCTGTTTGCTGTCTCTATTATGCATTTCTTCTAATGTATTCTCTCGCTTTGTGTGCTACAAGGAGTGGAGTGTGGCGACTTAAACGGCCGCACATCGGTGCAAAGTTCTATGTCGAAAACAGACAGACAGACTGACACACAACAACACAATGTAAAAACAGTGAGTGAACTCAGATTATATATGATGTAAGCAATGAATATACAGTGTTTCGAAGTTAGTTTTAATGCGCTCAGAGAGCAAAATGAAAAAAAAGATGAACTAAACGTGATTAAAGCAAATGATCTACCAAGTTTGACCACAATATATTGATAGAAATTTTTTTCTGGTAACACTGTGTTCCATTGTTGAATTAAAATTGAGTCTGTAAATGCGAGTCATGGAGATTTTTAGACGTCATCTATTAGTCTGTGTAAATAGTGCTGTCAGAACTATGGAATAAGAAATATCTCATCTGCGAATATTGGAAAACAATGAATGTTATTTCTTAAGCATCCTTTTAAGTGAAGATGTACAGTGTTCAGCATTAATTTCACATGCAGTGCCTGAATTCACTAACTTGTAAATTTAAAGTAGATTTAGAAACAGATTTTTACATTGTGTTATAAAATTGCATTCTCACCTCGTCGATAATTTTGGTAAGGCCTAATTATAACTATACTGCATCCATATTTTGGTCATTTACTAAAGAGTAACCATTTCTGTGTTATCTGATCCTAAATGCTGATTGGATTCTGTCAGTGAAGTTTGCGACTTGATCACCAAGCTATTAGACTTATCACAAACGTATATGATTTCGATTTTCATTCCACTTCATCCTCCATGGATGGATAATATAATTAGCTTTCAAAAAAATAAGTGTGGTTCATAGCCTTACACATGAAAATTCTGTCTCGAGTAATCGAGATCTAACTATCCAGTAGAAAAAGAATAACTGTTACTTTGGAAAATAAAACACCTATTTTCTTAGATTAAACACTAGTTAGTAAGTAGTGTAATGTGTCTAATCCTTTATTTTTATGGTGCAGACAGTCAATTTTTCAATATGGCCACCATTCTAGGTGGTTCACCATTACAGTGCACTCTGAATTGTTGATATTAGATGGTTGAAGGCAATCGACAAGAAGCCTTGGACTAAGGTCCCGTACTGGTTGCCACTCATCATCAGACAGAATTCAGTCTGAACCAAAAGAACAAAGGACTAGACCAGTACACTAGCTACTGACTGGTGTCCAATGAAAGTATCCAATACAGTCCTACAGGCGGTCGATAACGAGCCGGAATAGCTCAGTGGTAACGTTTCTGACTGCAGCGAGTTTGTATCTTGGGACATGAGTTCCTTCGAGGCTGCAAATACACCTCATTAAGAGCAGACAAGCACGAAATCTAGTTCCAAGGCTTTGCACCAATAGTCTCCATGTAATATATCTATTCTTTTTAAACCTCCAATTATTTTTGTTCCCCGCGTTCTGACTAGATGAAATGGCTTCAGTCTTTATGCTGTGAATTTCCAGTAGCAGAGGTGTTTCTTTTATGGAGTATGGACACTCGTCTCACGCCAAACCTTTCTTCTTTTTCAGACTATTCTAGGTTATAGAGGGTTTCAGAAGTGTGTGGACGTGGGGTTGAATTCATGCCTCCCTCATGTCTGGAGACCACTCCACCATTCAACCACTCACGCGTACATTTTGATTCATAACTCCTTAATTACTCATCTTATTCAAGAGGCACTTGTATAGAAAGGTTTATAATCATATAATAATAGCTTTATTTTGAGCAGTGTTAACATACGTGATAGCTGTGTCTAAAATCACTACATTTCTGAGCAACTGTGTAGTTACTCAGAAAGAGCCAGTGCAATAGGGTTACTGATAGTGTTATAATATCCTATCTGATACTCTTCAGATAAGTATATCTTAAGACAACATATTCTGTTATATTTAATGTGTCAGGCATGAAGAAAATAGTTACCATTTCACAGTAGCCTTAACATGTTTATTTGTCTTACTATTTCAGGTATTGGTTATGGGTGTATATATCTACCAGCTGCTACGATTGTCACTTCATGGTTTGTGAAAAAAAGAGCAACTGTTACTGGTATTGTTATGGCTGGAAGCGGAATTGGTGGTGTACTCTATAGTCTTGTGGTTCCATCTCTTATTAAATATTATACTTGGCGAGGTTGCATTTTGTTATTAGCTGGTGTGAATTTTCATTGTGCTGTAGCCGGTGCACTCTTTCGTCCATTGCTTGATTCAGATTATAAGCGTGAAACGGAGAACAACGAAAATGATACGGAAAATATGCTGGCGAATTCAGTCACCAGCTCAAAGACTGAACCTTTATTAGTGAAAAATATGAATGAATCGACAAATGAAATGCCAGTAAGTTTAATTCCTAGACATATCTAGTTTTTAAAGTTGCCTGTCAAAAGTGATTTGACGTCTAACTAAATGGTGCATACGTCCAAGTAATATGTTACTGTATGTTTGTAATTTTTAAAGAACCACTGTTTAGAAAACATTTTTGTACTCTTAAGCTGTAATAGATCTTTAATCCTTTTTCAGAGTTATTAATCACAGCATATTAGCAGTACTTTTCATCGCCATATTAATAAACATATAAGCTCCTGTAATTCTTATTAAACTGTTCTGTTTGAATACTTTTTTATGGTTAATATAACTTTTTGGTTGTATTTTAGTATCAGCTATTATCTGACAAATCATGTCACATATCTTTTCAGCTTTCATTGAAACACCTTTTCAACAAACATTTTCAATATTCAAATGTAAGGTTTACGGAGATTTGATTGGTTAAAGGATTTCATCATGAGTTGACATCAGTCCGAACTTTAGTGGTTTTGTGCTGGTGAAGAGTTCCATGCTAGGACGAAACAGTTGCCCAGTACTCCGAAGTTTTCCGATGAATCTCTAACCGATGTCAGCTAATGATAAAATCCTTGAACCACTCAAATCCCCTCAAACCAGCGCTTCAGTATCAATCTGATGCTCACTAGCGACTGGCCCTATTCAGGTAGGTAGTTACCTGGGTTCTACTGAGAAGTCGTGACCAGTGGGTTACAGAAGGTAGAGTTTGAGGATAAATACTCGCTTATGACAATGACTTGTAGTTACCCCATATCGTGAATTGGTAGCAGTTGGAATTCATGAACTGGCCACTGGATCAGGTCCCAATGGCTTAATAGTCTACAAACTCGCCCTGCAGCCTGGGTTCGAATTCCTGTGGATGCCTACTGATGGAGAGTTCCAAACTAGGACGAAACAGTTTCCCAGTTATCCTTAAGTTTTCCAATGGTTTTCTAAACAATATCAGCTCATGATGAAATCCTGTAACTGTTTTTGACTTCTCTATTTGAAAGCAATAAAAGCTTCTAGTATTTCAAATAATCTCGGATTTATTAATGAAAAGTAATTAATACTTAAAGCAATTAGCTCACCAGTAGATTTTTTTTAAACATCTTCATGTTACTGTAGACAACAGGTTCATTGATTGGTGGAGAAAAGCGAAAAGAATATTTAGATAGAAATATTTATTTCATATAGAGCATTCATAGTTTTGTTAATATTCAAATAACGAACCATATTAATCAATGCCAAATATTACTTAGTTAAAAGTATTCATATTATTAAGAGGAATTCACATGACACTTCATGAAACATATAAGTTCGACTTGTGAACTTCTGTTTGTGATCATTTACTAGTTTGGTTAGTTTACATTATCAATGAAAATCAAGCATTGAGAACATCAAGATGGTGTTAACAAAGAAAACTCTAGAATTCTCACTTATCCAAATATGAACTGTGCTTGAATCACTGTTAACGGAAGACAAAGAAAGTGATCACAATGTTTAAGTATTATGTCATATTAGTATGAAATTTTAAACACACTTACCACATATCTCATCTTGTTGGGAAACCAGAATTCAGTTTATCAGATATCATAAAATATAGTGGGTTTTATTACAAATGTACTGTCAACCAGACTGACTTGTAATGTATACTTTCGGGTAGCTTCTCTTTATAGCCTCCATTCATATACAAGTATGGTTTTTAGGTATGGTCTTTGTCTTTTTTTCCTGCATCATTATATTGCGTGCATACCAGATATTTTTTTCTCGGTCTAACGGTTTTAATCGCTTCATAGGCAAGATGTCCAAATATCACACAATCATTCTCTTTTATAAATATCATATTAATTAGTGAACAATACTGCATTAACGTCGCATGGGTTGGATGGTTTTAGGGATAAAAATCGATATTATACGTGAAATTGCTGATCTAAACATTATGTTTTTTTTCAGTGCACTGTTCGACAATGCGAAAAAATTTATAAAAAAATATCTTCACATCATTATTTTGCAAATATAGACAGAAAAAGTTTAATTTCAAAAGTAAAACATACTAGTGAAGTCTATGTTTAACTGAGACCGAGTGAACATATTCCACAAGGGATTTGAATCATAAAATAAATATTCAGCTTCCACATATTGGAATGTAGTAGTATAATTTCCTCTTCTGGTGTGTAGAGTTAGCTTTCAAACACCTACAAACACCAAAAAAAAAACACTGAGCAAGACTAATCGTATTCATTATATGAGATATGAATATTGTAACTCATGTTTCCTTTTTAATTTAGAATTCGGTACGACAAAGCCGAGAATTAAGTACTGTAAATGAAGTGAATGGCTCTGGGATGAATATCACTTCATCAAATCGAGAGCATAAGATGTCAACAGTTAGACTACCACCAGATCACAAATCAAGTCAATCATCTCGTGTGAAAAGAAGAAGTACAATTGAAGAGGGTAAGAAAATTTATAGTAGTATTGTTATTTTTACAATCTATTACACAGAAATTGGCTATTAAATTTAGACAAAAAAATGAAATAAAATGACGTAATTCATCTGAAATGTGTAATGTATTTGTGCGACACATACATACCTAATTGTCATAGGTATTTATATAAGGCGACAGGTCATAGAAAATTACACGTCTTGACAATAAAGGTCAAAATGTTTACGGGTCACGGTCACAGATAAAGGGGGTAGGAAAACGAGGCAAAAGTAGAAGGGTGTGAAAACACTAAGTAAAATGAACTTCGTTTCTAAAATTAGATCAGTAAGACATGTTCAAATTAATGACAGGCAATTTTGGAATACTAATCAGGTGTAAGCCTTTTTATGAGCTGACATCAGTTAGAGAACCAGTGGAAAACCACCTGGGAATACCGGAAGCTGTTTCGTCCTAGTTTGGGATTCTTCACCAATACGCACCCACCACAGAGGTTCGAACTCAGGACCTTCTGGTCACAAGGCGAGCTGGCTCATAGACTATTAAGCCACTGGGACCGGATCCAATGGCCCATAAATTCTAACTTCTGCCAATTCACGACATAGCGCGATCACTTCGCAATGTCTTCTCCGATGAGTTACTGCCTCACCTTCAAGCTGCTGCGCCTTACTGATCACAGCTCCCCACTAGAACCCCAGGTCACTGCCTGAATAGGGCATCATATTGGATCGGGTCCCAGTGGCTCAATGATTTACGAGCTCGCTAGCTTTGTAACCAGAAGGTCCTGGGTTCGAACTCTGGAAGTGGGTGCGTACTGGTGAGGAGTCCCAAACTAGGACGAAACATCTGTCCAGTAGTCCCAGCTGATTTTCCAGGGTTCTCTAAGGGGTGTCAGCTATTATGAAATCCTCCATCCAATCAAACAAAATCCCTACAAAACCAATACTTGAAAATTTGATTATATCACCCAACCTGTTGAAGTCGACTTTATAACCTATCTCTATGATGTGTTTTGCAATAGATGACAATGAGCATCTATTTCTGGGATTAACTGAATCAGGTGGTATAATTTTCTCTTGTAGCCACTTTGGAATGTGTTCTGTAGCACTGACCTGCAGAGATCGATGCATCTTGCCTATGTGTGTGTGTGACCACACATAAATGTGAATCAGTGAACACAGTAGGATGTGGTACGATCATTCGGATATGGTAAGGGTGTATAGGACAACATAAATATCGTTTTCTCTATGATACTGAGTTTAGCTGCAAAGTAAGTTCAATTAAGGGCCACTCTGATTCTTTGTTCAGTTATCAAACTTTGGTGATCACCCTTCAAAGTTAAGGAAATATGAACATCCTTTTTGGGAGTTGACTGGATTGAGAAAGACCTTTGTTTTATTCTTCTGTAGCGGTTAATGAATTTCAGGGAGTAGTAATTATCTAACAGTATTTTAGTGAGATTTCGTCTTTCTTCTCCAATTGTGTCCTCTGTACAAATGTGCGGAATGCGCTTAAACAAGCCCTTAACTAACACACTTTTATGCTGCAGTAGATAGAAACTATGATAATTTAGATGTTTCATCCAGGTGGACGTCCTATAGACAGATCATCGTACTGAAACATCCTGTCGGCTGGATATGACTACATCTAAAAATGGCCAGCAGTCATGCTTTTTTGTACTGTATTCATCCGGTTAGAAATTCCTATGGTATCTATCGTTTTGTCACAAATAAAATAAACTTTTCCATTTAAGCCCCCAACCGGAAGTTCAACATGTGACATTTTTATATCAGATAACAATGGTCCTTTGAGACTTCTCATGACAACCCCCATCGATCCGGTGGAAATGCTTACCCTCAAATGTAAATTTAGCATTGCTAGTGTATAAAAGTAGTATATCTTTCAAATATGGTATGGAAACTGGCAATAAGAAATTCTTGTTTGAAATGTAGTCACATAAAATGTCAATTCTTTATAACAGGAGAGCATTTAAAAGTAAAAATAATCTGCATCAAAGGAAAGCACGGCTTTGTCGTTTATATTAATTCCATGAAGACACTTTAATAAATCAAGATAGTGACATACGCTTCTAACATATATGATATCAAATCAAACGAAAGAATACATAGTTTCTCGTTAATAGATCTAAATTAGTAATCAGTAGTTTGCCTAAACAATGCATGGTGATTTTACTAATCAAATAGTAATATACTAATTAAAGGAAAGTGATCATTTTGGTCGGTATAAAACAGGCATGAAGCAATCAACAAAATCATTAGAACAAACGTTAAATGAGCATAGCTCATATAGATATACAGCTGACTTGTTGGGATTAGGCATCCTATTCATAGATAATTGGTTAATAATAATAATCTACTTTATTCCGAAAACAGTACTTATAGAATGGAATTCTCAGCATTTGTCACAATATTGCATCTGATTTACTTAAAATACAAATACAGTTAAAAATTAAAACAAAAGTAACCAGGGGAATCTGTCCACGTTAGAGTTATAAAGTCAAAAATATTCGGAGCACGAATTGAGATTATTAAATATAATAATAATAGTGAGTTTGTTTCAAACAGTATTGTCGATTCAGTTTGGAAACTTTAGCATGTTATAGATTATTGGATCTAATGTTCTGTTGATATAGTCTAGTGAAGGGAAATACAAAATTAACAGTTATTAACACAGCTTAAATTATGTTCACACTTATGAAAAATAAATAAATAAAAACAAAAAATTGAGAGGATTATAAATATAAGAAATACAATAACAATAAAGTTTGGTCCTGTAAGGGTGGAAGAAATGGTTTATTTAGTAGTGCAAAGAAGGTTAGTTAGTTCGTGCCTGACACCATTTCCATCACATAAAGTACGTGCTAAATATGGTATAGTGGAATTTTTATACTTAGACGTACGTGTATAAATTCTTCTGAAAAGACTTCTTGTTTTACCTGAGGAGACACAAGGTTGGAGCTGCGCGTTGAGTGGGTACTCACAGTCTGACAAAATTCCCTTAGCGAATTTGTTGCATGACATCAAGTGTGTATTAGTGACAGTGTCAACGATATGGCCCAATGGGATACCACTCGTCCTACTGAGTTTTACGAAGTATGACATTGTCTTTTTTAAGCAATCCAGGAAAGAATAAGGGTGAACAGTAAAGAAGAATAGGTAAAATACACGAGTTGACAAACTGTAAGAGGAGTGGTTGGGTTATGCCTGAGTGCCTCAACTTCTTATGTAAAAAGTCAGACGAAATATTCTTTTAGAAATCTCTAAGACATGGGAAGACCAGGATAAGTCAGAAGAAAGAATTAATCCAAGATGCTTAACTTCAAACTTGATTTTCATATCAGTATCATCAATTTTGCAAGGGTCATAGGAACCAACGGCTTCATTTAACTTTCGTTTACATCGGAAACTCAAATTGACAGTCTGACATTTGGAGGGATTTAGTTTAAGGCCGCTAGACGAAGACCATTTAAGAAACAGTGATCATAGAGGAGAATGTGTAAGTGAATATATGTCACTCATTACAATTAGGTACTGAAAGGTTAGTTAGTTAGAACATCAATAATACGAAAATAAAGTAATAACAATAGTACTGTCAAGAAATTGCTTGAATGATGGGGGTCATTTAAAATTTTGTGTAGCCAACTAAATTCAAATGCATCCCTTTAGACCTGCATTTCAATGGACTACACACCCAGTAAAATTGGATGAATAGTAGATATACATTAAAGACAAAAGATTATGAAATAATTTGAGTCAGACAGACATTGACACAATATCCTTCTATAAGTTTTAATGAAGTTCACCACTTTTTAAAAAAATTCAAAAATATATCTCCATTTGTTTATATGTTTTTGTTTTCTACATAGATGCTGTAATTACCTACGGAAATCAAATTGTTCCAGATGTCAAGAGTGGAGCAAATGTACCAATCAATTCCACCGAATGTTTTCCTGTTATGAGTGTAGAGGCAGTCAATCGGATTGTTGGAGATGTTCTCAGTCGTCAAGCCATAGCATCGACAGCAAGTCTAACAGCTCCAGACTTCTCTTCTAAACTTAGACTTTCTACTATTTTATCACAAAAAAATCTCCACTCAAGTCATGTTCAAGCAGGACCAACTGAATCAGCAGTTGTATACAAAAAGGTAATTCACCTCAGATTAATTCTTCTTTTTACCTGCCTAATTCGTATGTAATTAAAAAAAACTGGTGAATAAGATTTATCAACTTTTTAAGAATTAAAGAAACACACCTAAGCTCGTTAATCACTCCGGATATATACTAATTTTGATTAAGTCTCACAGTGTGATACGGTTATAAAAATAAGTAAATAATGATACTGACATTCACACTTGAATCGAAAATAAACAAGGAGAATTAGCTATGTTACATTGTAAAATCAAAAACGAATAGAAGAAGGTAAACAACACTAGCGTTTATAAAAAACAAACGCATTCTGCTAATAGAAATTTAGACTTTAATTCCTCTCATCGTTAACTGTTTAGGGAGGCTTAGTCAAGTGTTAAACAAACCGAGCAGTAGCACTAAGTAGTACAAGAAAAGACTTAAGTGATGAAATAAAACAGCTGGAAGAGGCGTTTGGTGTCAAATAAGTATCCTATCAAATTCATTAGGAAGATCAGAAAAGGTCAAAAGCAAAATGAAAATAATTGGGAAACTAATAATGATAACAAAAATAAGGAAGAATATTAATCATCTACTGTTATACCATATAAGGGGGGGGACATCCGAGACCCTACGTAGGATTCTTACTAAACCAGGAATCAGAGTGTCATTCAAACCTACAAACTCACCCAGGTAAGACAAGCTCTATAGGCTAAAAGAACCATTTGACCCAATTAGACAAAATAATATAATTTACAAAATACCTTGCAATGACTGTGAGTGAGGTCAACTACATAGGTCAAACCAGTAGGTCAGGGGTAATCAGATTGTCGGAACATAAGAATTTAGCTAAGGTAAGAACGGTTGACCCTGAGAAGATGAGTAATTTAGAAAAAAGCTCAGGAATTGCACTGCATGCATTAACAAACAGCCACACAATAGAGTGGGTTAAATTCTAAGAAGTAATCTATGTAGGTGGAGAGAGAGAGAGGTTGACTGCTGAATCCTTGTTCATCGAGTCTACATCCAACACCTGCAGTAGGAATAACTCATCACTCATACCAGAAATATGGAAAATGCTACTACCAGTCAAATGAATCGATGAAAAATAATGGAACCATATAAACGAAGTTAGAAAGGTGTATGAGTGCTTTGATGTGATTATGAGCTGCAGTAATAAATTGTTCTCGAAACGTGGTCATCAGTGAATATTACTGTATAACACTGTGAGACTTTATCAAAATAAATTTTACCCACAATAGATGTATACAAAACAACATAGTAAGCACTTTAGGATTAGTCTAAATTCTTCAAAATAAAAGCATATTTTATCTCAGAATAATGCGAATATCATAATTAGAATAAGTGAATAAAATTTGTTCTGACAGAGTACCATTCGTTATGCATGACTGATTTACTTTGCTTGTCTGAATGAAATAGTATGTCTTATGAGCATTAATTATAAGGGTATTAGCTATTATCACAGAAGGATTCTCATTAATCAGACAAGTGTGCACAGGCTCTTTAGTGATTATTCTTAAATTAATCAATTCAGTGCATTCAGAGTATAGACAACGAAAGCAACTTTTTACCATATAAGCAACCTAAGATATTTCCACATACCGTCACGATGATGATTCAAATATGCTTTATTCAATCTATATATATATATATATATATATATATATATATATATATATATATATATATATATATATATATATATATATATATATAAAAGGAAGTGGTATTCTTCTCCTTTCTTTTTCAATTTTTGAAGTGACAGATTGGAAAAATATTTTCAAATGTGTATGAAAACAGACCATGACGTAGGAGCCTAAATTAATAATTCGGATAATCTGAAGTGTACTATATGTCGGACAGAAAGCTTTGTAACCGTATTATTTAGGCGTATCATGTTTGTTTTTATTGAACTATTAGATTCAACTGCTATCCTGACAGTTAGTCAAAGGTGATTGATATGAATCTTTATATTTTTGAGACAATGCATCCATGTGTACCTAGTAATTTAACTGTTGCTGTGGAGCCACTTACATAGGTCGTACAATTAGGTGTGTTCATCATCGGATTTCCGAACATCACCCTGCGTGGTTAATTAAAGGACAAACAAAATGTATTCGTAGCGCTACTCTATTTCATCTTGTGGATACAGAACATAAGATTAATGTTCACCAGGCTTTCAAAGTCATTTACTATATTCCAACAAATCTTAACTTCGCCTTAAGAGTTCGTTTACTAAATATTGCTGAGGCTGATGGGATCCACATAAGAAGCCTAAGTTATGTATGCAAAAGCAATTGGTTCAGACACTGTCCTTACTCTCCTGGCCATCAAGATTTTAGCTATCCTGAACTTGTTGTGGAAATTTCCTTAATTTAATTTGATATTCTATTTGCTATTACATTTTTATGCTTATTATAATTTATGCATCTTTAGTGAACTGTAATTCCATTGACCTAAATCAACAATTCGATAGTATTTAAAAACACCAATATTGTGAATAGGGACCATTCTAGAATATTATATATATAATCGTTGAGCCAGAAGAGGAAATTATCGAAAAGGATATTCTTTCCTCAATTATTTTATGTTTTAGAGATGTCTGAATGAATATTTTCCCTAAACTGCTATGTATTCAAGTCTGTGTAAGCTAGTGATTGACTGGATAGTTATAAACTACTCATATCCGCTAGCCAAATCAAGGTAAACTAAACACCGAAATACCTTTTTACTCGGTTGAGATCCAGCTTAACAGCAGTGTACCTGTCTGAGTAGGCTCATACTACCCGAAATATTGTCTATGGATATTCGTTCTAACAGTACAAACTCTTTGAGGTAGTATTTCTTCACAATTTCCTTTGGAATCCCAAACTACGAAGATTATGAAATTTGACTTGTTTGACATCATGAATGAAAACAAAAAAGCAAATGAAGTTTCCAAACTAGAAAACATAATGAGATTTCACAAACTGTATAGCCTACGACCTGTATACTCTCATTGTAATTTACTTACGGAAGTAACCTAATCTTAGAGGTGAGGAATAGGATTTGGGGTTAAGATCCGCTAAGTAGTTAGATATTTTGAGTCTTTGAATAATAAAATCATCTTTCTAGTATTTTAACGTCGGTTATTTGATATTTTCTGGTGGACAAAGTATTCATTTTAATTTCAATGAACACTTTAAGAAAAATATTTTAATCCCCTTTAATTACAATCTCATTTGTGTTTTTTTCTGTTTCAGCCAGATAACTTTGGAAGTACTTCCTATTTCGCTTCTGCAGTCTCACTTAAAATGCCACCAGGAGAACTGAGTCAACTTAATGATCCATCTGTCTGCCAGGCTATTGTAGATGAACTACAAAAAGAGATTTCTAGACCAGCCTACAAAAAAGATTTATTTCTTAGTGGAAGCCTTATACATATTAATGAAGTGAGTTCCTTTTTAAATACTATTACTTCTTCAACACTTATTATAAATTATCCACCACTTGATATTACTATGCTATATATTATTATATTAATATTTCCTTTAATTCTTAGAGAAAGATTAGGCTTCAGCCGCACGTCTAAATTGCGCCATCGTTTTCACTTGGCTTCATGTCTGCCCACATACTTTCATCTCCTCTCCACATGACCTCCTCCATGTCACCCTCGCACTGACGACCAACTCGCCACTTCTCTTTCGGGTTCCACTCGAGTGATGGCCTGTCATGTGATGTCACTTGGTGGTTTGTTTTCTCAGAGTATGGTCAATCCACTTCCATTTCTTCCTGCATTTTTTTTGCACAATAGGTTCCTGGTTGGTTCCCTCCTAAAGATCGATCCCTGTTGCTGATCTTTTCTGGCCGACCATCTCATCTTGAGGATTGAGCGAAGACATCTGTTGATGAAAGTCTGTAGTTTGTTTAGGGTGCCCTTCGTGACGCGCCAAGTCTCTGATCCGTATAGTAGTTGAAAATCCGGATCTTATTTTTCATGTTGAGTGCTGTAGATCTCCACACAGACTTGAGTGAAATGACGACTTCCCTTGCTTTCCCGATCCTTGCTTTGATATCCTCTTTAGTTCCGCCTGTAGTTGAAACGATGCTTCCCAGGTAGTTAAAGGTTGTTGCTTCTTTCAGGTCTTTCGCATTGTGTGTTGTCTATTGTTGATGTTACTGTTGCTGTTGGCCATGAATCATCACTTCTGTTTTCTATATGTTCACCTGAAGGAAATCCTATCTTTGATGCTTCTTCTGTCAACTTGTTGCTTTTTACTTTTATATCTTCTAGTTTGTGGGAAATCAGGCATATATCGTTGACGAAGTCCAAATCCTCTAAGTTCCTGTGTTAGTCCATTTTATACCTATTTCCTCGCTAGCCACTGTCTGTCACATTATCCAGTCTACCGCAATCAGGAAAATCATTGGAGATAGTAGGCAGCCACCTTGTCTTACTTCCTTCTTCACTTCAAAGATTACTATGCTATTCTCATATGTTATTGTTTGGTCTAATAACCGGTATATTCTGCAAAATAATAACGGCAAGTTATGTTGTGAAGCCTATATGAATATTAGTGAGTGTTAAAGCTAAAGTACTCATTAAAAAAATATGGCCCGCCGTTGGCTGACGTCATGTAATGTAATGTACGTAAATTGTACATTAGAAAAGAAAGCCCCTTTTTAAAATGAAATCATTAAATTGAAAGTGAATTTAGTGGAAAACTGTTTTATTTTCACCTTAATATGAAGTCTGCACGTTCAGTACACAACACCTATACATTCTCTGTTGTAAATACGACTAACACTTGAAGTATTTCTCAAAGTGACTTTGCTTTTATATAGAATTCAAATAACAGGCGTTCTTATGTTTCCATAGCAATTTGTTTCGTGTACCCAGTCACTAGATGCTGATCACTTTAGTTACTATCATAAATATACATTCACTCTCAATAGTTTAAGTTTTAGAAACGAAGATTGGAATTCCAAAGGAATGCCATTCAGTACGGAAAATGATACATTCGTTAGACAAAATTATGTCGATTCTAAGTTGTCATCTAAAAAATTCAGTACATTATAAAAACTGTTTTTAAATATAATAAAACATTGTGTATATTAGTTAGAGTCTGGACTGTTGGTTATAAAATGTGTCTGTTTTTTTAATACAACAAATATCCTCTCCATTTCTCTTGTAATTAATGTAAGTTTATTTAAAGAACAGAAGAATACTTAAATTGATAACATTGGATAGATAGAATGCTTTTTTAATGCCATTCATTAGTGACCTTTTTTTCTCTATTATTTTTGTCATTACTGATAAATGTTACTTAAAACTTAATCAATGAAAAAAAAACAGTATTTGAATAGGTTAAATAATCATGTGTACAAGTAGTTAATTGCACTGAAGGTTAGGTTTACTTCATCTTGTGAACATTGTTGTCATCAGTCACTGATAACAAGGAGGACACTGTTGGAAGACTTACCTATTTTTTTTAAGTCTAGAAAATTATTGATTATAGTTCTTCTAGTGCTAATTATTCTTCCACTGACCAAGTTAACTTTATTGTTAATGAGTGAATTATTTCATGAAAAAGAAGTTTCGGGTATCGATGCTTATCCAAACAGCTTTTCCAGAAAGAAATCTTCACATTTGCTTCAGCAAGCTTAATGGACCGTTGAACGGTCCTTGCTTTTTTTTCCAAATCACGGAATACACTCATTTGATCATAGGGAATAATAAAATAACGCCGGTCGCAGCGAAGAAAATTTTCTTTTCGACGAAGTCATCAACTAGGCTGTACATTCGTGTATTTATAATAAATGGGTGGGAAAATTCTAGAATAATTTCCGGTTATTTCGACATTTCTAACCGCTTAATTGGACAACATGTAATACTTCCCAATAATTATGATGCTACTTTGATTGAATTTTACTGATCCCCCCCGTTTATTATGGCATTTTAATTCCTAATTGTAATTTTAATAATTTAATCCTTGACCGGAAATTATTCTGGAACTTCCTCACCCATTTATTATAAATACACGAATGTAGAGCCTAGTCGATGACTTCGTCGAAAGAAAATTTTCTTCCCTGCAACCGGCGTTTTTTATCATTCCATATGATCAGATGTGTATATTCCGTGATTTGAAGAAGAAATTCCTCTATTTTTACAGCTTTTACGATGAAATAGGTCTGACATTGATGAGACTATTTTTAAGTTTTGTATTGACATAAACGTTTCCATTCAAGGTGTAATTTAGATTTACTTTATAGTTTAAAATGAAGTTGGTACACGTTACTTATGAGTTCTCTCATCTTAATATATTTTTTTGGTATGAATTTAGTCTTTACAGGTTATCTGCATCGCCTAATCAATCCATATTTTGTGCATTTTTATTTCCTCCTAGTTTTTATCTACTACTGATGTAGCTTCATATATTCGATCGGTGACAATTCCAGCTGAAGAGATGAATATAGATCGACCGATATGGTCTATGATTAAAAATGTTTTGGGCTTAGAATTATTAAAGAGTCCAACGTTTGTACTGTTATCGATTTCTAGTGTATTAAGTATGATTGGTAAGTTATCCAAAATAACAATAAAATAGTTCAAAACAAGGTTTTAACCTATGCTTTTTTATGGAATTTGAGTGTACTAAATGTTTTCTATTTATTACAACACCATTGGTTTTGTGAAAGTGTCAGTATTTTTGCATTCTATAATAGACAGTTCAAAATAACTACAAGAAACGTAGAGTGTATGTATATACATTTATCTAAGTTAATAAATAGAACATGTGTCGGTGGTACAGTTGTAGAGTGCTCGCCGACCACGCATGTGACTCAGGGTTCGATCCCCGGCCGACGCAGTCCTTTACCTCGCTAAGTCAGTAGTAAGACTGGTAAGGCTGGAAGGTTGGGCCTGAGGCTAGCTAAAGAAACTTCAAGCCTCTAGCTTGAAGCCTTCTGTCCCACTCGGAACGTAAAGGAGTTAAAAAAAAATAGAACATGAGAAACCCAAACAATTAGAATAGTTAGAACTTGCTCATCCGCCGTTAGGCTGTTAGCGACGCTATTTTGTGAGGGCTAATATTACTACCTAATTGTTCAGGCTGAAGTAGGTGGGACAGGACTCCAGCACGGAGCCCATTTGCTGGAACTTAAGTGCCTTAGCAAATGAGATGGTTCTTTAAACAACCAAGACTGAAATAGCTGCCTGGCTGCAGTGTAAATAAGTATGTCTGCAAAAGCGAAAAAAAAACATCAGGAATGCTGAAATTAATTTCATTATCACTTTTTACAAGTAAAGTATTCTTATTTTACTTCCCTGAACTCTGGATCCGTTGTTCTGTTGATAAGAGAACAATTTAATGACGGTTGTAATACAAAAAAATAATTAACTGCATTTTGTTCACACATAAATTTAGTTTGTGGACCTCAACGCATGTGTTCCTCCATGTGTAACTAAGATCTGTTACCTTAAACACTCAGTTAATGCTACTTTCAGGGTTCTGGATAATATTTTGATTGAACACTAGTAACTAATGTGACGTATCTAGTCCTGACTGAATTCTATCAGTCAGGTTTTGCAATGTGGCCACCATTCTAGGTAGCTCGCCATCACCGTGCACGTTGATTTGAGAATGTTAGATAGTTAGAGGCAATTGGCAGGAAGCCTTGCTCGACCTAGATTTTGTGCTAGTTGGCACTCATCAGCAAGGCGTATCTGCGACCTAGAAGTAACTCATGTCCCTTCTGAGATTCGAACTTGAGTCACCCAGTGATGGCGAGCTACCTAGAATGGTGGCCACACTGCAAAAGCTGACTGATAGAATTCAGTATGCACCGAAGAAAGGACTAGATAAGTCACACTAGTTACTAGTGTCCAATCAAAGTATCCGCTAGAGTCTTACGGGAGGTCAATCGCCAGCCCGAATAGCTCAGTGGTAAACGTCTCTGACTGCAGCACTGGGTGACACGGGTTTGAATCTCAGAAGGGACATGAGTTCCTTCAAGGTCTCAGATGTGCCTTGCTGACTGTTGAGTGCCAACTAGCATGAAACCTAGCTGGTATCCAAGGGTTCCTGTGGCCGATTCCCTCCAACTATCTAATATATCCTCAAAGTTTGGATAATAAAGTACCTCAATCAGTTCTTATTTCCACACATATCTACAGATTTGTCCTATTTCAGTGATATTAAAAATAAACTTATTTAATAATATATATTCATTGGCTTTATCACATAATTTTATCATTCTTTTGTACCTTTCCTTTCTGGGGATGCACTGAAACTTAGAAATCTTCCCTTTCATCATAAAACTGTCTGTCTGGAAGGTGAATTGGGTTATACTGCTGTTTTTTACGATTCTTTGTTTACATAAACTAAATTATGGACAGCCTAAAAAAGCTTTATATCAGCATATTTTTAAGGCAAATAATAATAGCACTGAACATCAATGCTTAGGGTACACTATTCAGATTTCAACTAATTCCGTTTACACGCCCATTATCAACTATTCATAATAGGCTTATGATATATTGATAAACAGTTATTGGCATACAGTGTTGTATCCTGTTATGAATGTGGTATTATTCTTTAGCGATAACAATGATTAAGTTATTTTTGAAAATCTCCTAATGCTTCACAATTTTCAATTAGTTTGTGATTCATTAAGTAATAATTTTATTTTGTATACTATTGATTTATAATGTATATGAAATTCGTGTGATGGATATGGAGGTTGCATGTTAGACAAGCTCTATTATATTTTACTATTTGAACTATTTTTTTTTTCACTTGTGCAGGCTACTGTGTACCGTATCAATTCCTTAAAGATAATGCCCAACTCTTAGGGCAAGTGAAGCATCTGCATCATATCTGTTAGCTTATCTCAGTGGTCTGAATACATTTGGAAGAATACTGACAGGTTTGTGAAAATATTCAATACATTTTGTATTTCTTACATAGAAATTTGTTTTTTAACAGATGGTTATATAGGGAATTTTTTTTGTCTGGTTGGAGGACTTCATCATGAGCTGAAATCAGTTAGCGAACCAGTGGAAAGCCACCTGGAATACCGGACAGCTGTTTCGTCCTAGTTTTGGACTCTTCATTAGTATGCACCCACCAACTGGGTTCAAACCCAGGACCTTCTGGTTACAAGGCGAGCTCGTAGACCATTAAGCCACTGGGACCCAATCCAGTGGTCAGCTCATGAATTCTAACTTCTGGCATTTCACGACATAGCGTGACCACTAGCCAATGTCATTCATGGTGAGTATTTGTCCTCACTCCCGACCTGCTGTACCTGTGGTTCTAGTGGGAAACCGTGACCAGTAGGGTAGAGCAGGTTGAAGCAGAGGCAGTAACTCATCGAAAAAACATTGAGAGGTGCTTAAGATATGTCGCGAACTGTCAGGAGTTAGAATTCATGGGCTGATCATTGGATCGGGTCCCAGTGGCTTAATGGTCTACGAGTGCGCCTTGTAACGAAAAGTTCCTGGGTTCGAACCTCGGCGGGTACGTACTGACGAAGAGTTCCAAACTAGGACGAAACGGCTGGCTGTCCAGTACTTTCAGGTTTTCCAATAGTTCTCTAATTGATGCCAGCTCATGATGAAGTCCTCCAACCAGATGAATATTTATCATACAAATTTACAAATTTCATAAAATCCTCGGATAAATTTCCGAATTTGAAGTTCGATTGATATCAAGTTTGATCATAAACTGACTTCGCTCAGAGAAGCATTAAAAACCAGGGGGTAATAGACAGCTGTTTTGTTCCAAACTAGAACTGAAGTCAGGCCATGATCAAAATTGGATTTGTGTATTAAAAATGATCTGAATTTAAACTATAACATAAGATGTAAACCAAAACCATGGATAAAAACTGGGGTCTGAAGATAAGTTTGGCTCACAAAACAGACACACACACAGTGTTTTAGAATAGTGGGAATATAGCCCAGTCAAACTATACTGTCTAAATTTCCAAAAACTGATCCTACCCGAAACTTGAATAGATTAAAGATGGTGAAAGTATTTTTACGCTCTGCTTGACAAATCTTACTTCTTTTCAAATTAATTCAATTACTTGGTATAAGAATAAAACTTGGGCACTGTGGTAGAGTATAAATCCATCATAGAGTAAACTTATATGATAAAGTCCCATAGCCTTGTATATTATTATATACGGATGACATTTCGAGCACAATTTATTACTCATAATCATATCAAGGTACTCAAATCCTCAATAAAGTGAATGTAATTTTTTTCTTCACATTTATCACAATCAAGTCACACCAATGTTTTTTCTCTGTTCGTTTGGTTTTGATGTATTTATTTGAAAATCATAGGACATCAACTGTAATCAACACTACATTTAAGTGTGTCTGTATCAAATAACGTATCAGGCTTAAATAATTATCAAGGATGTCTTCTGTCACATCTTAATCTTCAGAAAGTTAAATGCCAAAAAGTTGAGTGGATCAGGGGACTGTACAAAACCAGTTCCCTTATAAAATATCTCTTACTAAATTTAACATAATGATCAAGAGCAAGTATATATATATATATAAGGCCAGGTTAAACTTTAAGCACCAGTAAGTACCAGTGGAGTGCGACTGCAATAATGACCTTGGAATGCTCAGTGAGCAAGTTAGTGAAACCTAGTAAATAATATTGTAATCATGAATAAAATATGCTTAATCGAGCGTTATTTTATTAGATGGGATATCTGGCAAGTTTCAGGTCAGGTTTGAGAAAGATTAAGTTAAATTTTAGCCTAGGGATAGGTTAGGGTTAGGTTAACCAAATAAGAGCGATATTAGGGTTGGTTCGAGTTAGATTAGGGTTAGTTTAGAGATATTTTCACGTTAGAGTTAGGTTAAGGAAAACGTTTAGGGTTAGAAGACCTAGATGATTACATGCATAGAATATGTGGTTAAATTACTCTGTTAATACTCCAATAAGAAAACTGAGAGATATTTTTGTCCCATTTCAGTGAAGGGTATCCTGAGTAACAGTTTCATTATTTTCATGAACATGTGTATTTTATAGGCAAAAGTCGCCATTACCATCTGGTTGATGCATTGAATGCCATTTGTCAATTGGTGCTTACTGGTTCTTAAAGTTTAACTTTGCCATATACACATGTATATCGAAAAGTATCGAACAATAATAAAGCATTATTTCAGACAATATATGCACATACATTACAGAAATTTTCAGCGTATTTGGTTTCAAAATATTTACTCTTCATACAGTATTTAAATGTAAAGCAATAATCTGAAGAATATTATGTGATGTAGCATTATTGCATATGGGGAGAGAAACAATTCTGTCCATGTTTTCTTCATTCCCTCTAGGAATTGCACAGCGTTTAGTGGAAAACAAATTCATGTAGTGATCATTTGATATAAATGCACGATTGAAACAATACGAAATGCAGAAGATCTTAAACAGACTTTAATTAATCTCATTCGTTAACTGTCAAGGGAGGTTTAGTCAATTATCGAACAAGCCGGTCAGTAGCATTAAGTAGCATAAGAAAAGAACTAAATGATGAAATAAAACAGAAGAGGGGTTGGTGTCAATTAACTATCCAATAAAATTCATTAGGAAGATCAGAAAAGGTGAAAAGAAAAATGAAAATAATGGGGAAACTAATAATGATCACAAAAATAAGATAGAATATAAGGTATCTACTGTTATACCACATAAGGAAGGGACATCTGAGAGCGTACGTGGGATTCTTAATGAAACAGGAATTAAGGTGGTATTCAAACCTACAAACCCACTCAGGGGCAAGCTGTATAGGCTAAAAAACCTAGTTGGTACAATTAAACAAGATAATATAATTTACAAAATATCTTGCAATGACTGTGAGTGAGGTCAACTACATGGGTCAAACTAGTGGATTGTCGGAACATAAGAATTTAGCTAAGGTTAAAATGGTTGGCCACGCGAAGATGAGTAATTTAGAGAAAAGCTCAGCAGTTGCACTGCGTGCAATAAAACACAACCACACGACAGCATGGTGATAGAGGGTTAAAATTTTAAGGAGCAATCTATGTAGGTGGAGAGCGAGAGAGATTGATTACTGAATTCTTGTTCATCGAGTCTACACCCAACAAGTGCACTAGGAATGACTCATCACTCATACCGGAAATATGGAAAATGCTAATACCAGTCAAATGAATCGATGAAGAATAATGGAATTATATAAACGATATTAGAAAGTTGTGCGAATACCTTGATATGATTATGAGATGCGGTAATAAATTGTTCTCGAAACGTGGTCATCATTGAATATTACTGTATAACACTGTGAGACTTTATCAAAAATAAATTTCATTCATAATGGAATTATACTCTACCACAGTGCACAAGTTCTATTCTTATATCAATTTATTAAATCTTATATAAATATCTATGGCAGGTAGATGTGTAGTCGAATGTTCGATATGTGTTGGGCAAATGAATTTTACATGTGTCAGAGGACTAGCGTCTTCTTATTGCTTTGTTGAAATTCATGAAAGGAACTACTTGTTTTAAATTATAAATTCAAGTAAAATCAAGATATACTATTAAAAATGTATTTGAGTAAAGTTAGAGATAAAAATCAAGATATGTTGAATGTTTTTTGACCATGTTCATTTATTGTAAAGAAACTGTAATGCATAGCATACTTACGTATGATAGCACATCTCTTGTAACTGATGAAAAAGTCAAGTTGAATACAGATATCATGTCACTTGTATTGATTAGAAATGTGTACTACAATCAGTAAGTAGAAGCGTTCTCCTCATAACGAAATGTACTTCGTTATACATAGCTAACGTTCTTATACAAAATCTGTTCCACAGGTGGATAATATCTCGAATCAATGTTTATTTATTTGATCAACTAATATCATTTGTTTTGTAGATAAAATAAATTTTTATGACCTTAGAATTGTTCTGAATACCGATGGCCCTAAAAAATTTGCAAAAGAAATTATACCTCCTTTAGGATGAATAGAAATCAAGATGATAAAAACGCTAAAAAAACAAATAAAAAAACCAAATTCATTTTGTACGGAAATTGATTTTATATTTTCACCGTCTATGAACCAACTAAGCTTACACCAATGCTTTGCATAGCAAAAGCTAAATCCGATATAGTCTTCGGAAATCGATTTCGAACATCTTTTCTCTACTTCTCATTTTGTGTTTTAATTTCTTGAACTGTATTATTTTAGGTTTAGGGCAATTCTTTCTTTACGAATAGGAAAAGAAAAGTGTAAAACAGAAATGTTTTATACTTATAAAGGAAATGTATGCTATTCAATTGAATTTTAGATTTCCCTGTCGATTGATTGAACCAAAGTGGTCGGTCTCAGGTTGACATGGCACCTCCTTGTGCAGATGCTTCGGCGATGGCTGGACATTTGATTCCACTGCTAGTTACCATCCACCAGTTGCATTCTAATTAAATGCCCAGACATTGTTGAAGCACCTGCACAAGAAGCCGACATGTGAACCTGAGACCAAACACTTCGGTCCAATCAATCGATGGGAAAATCTAGAATTGAATTAGATAATTAATATGACCCGTTGCATAAAAGGTGGGTTTTCTGGCTCAAGTGGTCAAGTGGATAACGATTTGGCGTTTGAAACTATGGGGACTGGGTTCGAGCCTCGGTGGGAACATCATCACTCACTGGGAAATGCAGGTACATCCAGTTGGCGAGTCCCAAATAGGACGAAATACACATCCTGGATTCCACTGGTAATCACCATTCATCAATTAAATAGCAATGTATGCTAATTCTGAAGTCACACACACAACAGAAGTATTCACGTGCATAATTAGGGAGAAAGAAAGAGACATTCTTGACTCTTCGACATCAGATAGCTTCCTAGATTCTGATTCATTTGTTTCAGGTGAATTACTGTTGAACAGAGATTTGGAGTTGAGTCTTTACCCTTGCATCTATATATGCATATCGCATTTATTCATGAATACTTTAACATTAAAAAGTAAAATCCCTATCAGCTGCTGATCATGATTCTTATAAATATCCAGTTAACATAGTATTTATTTATTTATTTTTACTTCGAAACGTTTTATTTTACAGGTTGGCTATCTGATCAACCATGGGCCAATGTTCTATATATCAATAATGTTTCACTAGTCGTCTCTGGCATACTCACTTCATTAGTCCCTTTGTTCAAAGTGTATGATGCACTGATAGGTTATGCATGTGTTTATGGATTTACGATATGTAAGTTATGAAAAGTTATCATAAAACGGTTGGTTTCTTTAACACCCATCGTCTGTTTAATTCCAGGGATTATATAAAAGTTGTTCATTAAAGCTTGATGTCTAAAAAAGTGCATATAGGGAACGATTGAAATGTTTATGCAGATTAAGTAAGAGACACGAAATTTAACTTTATGAAAAGAATATGACATCAACAGAAAATGTAATTAGATGATTTAATCGTCATCTAATTACTTTTAATCATGATGCTACAGAGAATAAATACAGTTTGCATAAATGCGATTATTTTAGATATTCTGTGATACTTTAGAAATTCAGATAAATAATCCAATAACAAACCATATTCATTGTCCTCGTAATAAAAACTGTTGATACCTGGTAGAAGGCAATAAGTAACAGGGCACGATTGAGAAGCTAATACGGTTTACACACCAAATTATGCTTAAGTTAACTAGAAGTAGCATTAAAATAATGCTGCTTTTGACGTGATAGTAAAGTTTCAAGCTACAATAAAACTTGTTTTGTTTATGCTAGTTGATCATAGATTGATATCAGTTAGAGAACCATTGAAAACCAGCACTGTAATTACTGGACAGCTGTTTCATCCTAGTTTGGGAATCATCAACAGTATGCACCTACTGGGGTTCGAACCTAGGATCTTCCGGTTATAAGGCAAGCTGGCGTACTGGGACCTGATTCAATGGCCCATGAATTCTAACTTCTACCAATTCGTGATTTAGCGCGACTGGCATCAACCAATGTCATCGGTGGGACATCCATCTTCGTTTTGTACTGTTTAAATCATTTGATTCTCAAGTAGACAAGAATAGAAGGATATCTCATTTGTTTGATTTCTGCCTCTGACTATAATAACTACGGTAGAATATGTAAGGCACCTTCAAGAACAAAGAATTAGCGCCCGTCTGTCTCCCCCTGTAAAATGCCTAATCTTTATTAGTATTTTGTTAGTTTGTGAGCACCTTTTCGTTCGCTTTATCAACACATTTCGTAATGTAAGCTGTATTTGATCCGTATATTTCTGTATTTACTTCTTCCCAAGAATTAAGTTGTTCGCTATGCGAATTGCCAAAGGGTCAATTTTTTTATTATTTGCTGATAACTACGTAATATTAGTTATCTAGTTACTAGTTAGTAGTTTCCGAAGCTGACTGAGTTTTTTCAACCTTTTGTTTATTGAGTAAGTAGAATAACTGTACATGTTAGAAAGATGGTTGTAACTCTTTCACAAAATTCGAAAAAGAGTTGGTTCATTTTCGGAAGTTCATATCTTTAGATAAAACAGCATTTATGCCGATTATTCCAACTGTGAAATACTAAGGAATGAAAACCCTAACCATCGCTGTCTCGTATAATGATAGAAAAACTTAACGATGCCATAGCTTCCAATATTTATTATGTATGAGATTAAAAGTCCATCACAGACATATACAAACGTATTAAAGCTTTAGGTCTTCAAAAAAGCTGATCACAACAGAGTCCTGTACCGAGTTTCATACTTCTTAGTACTTGTTAGTGAGGCGTACCTGAGGTCTTCTTTCGAAGTCGATATCGGTACATAATTTAGACTTGGATATATTCGTCATTTATGCCTATTTAGTATATTCTTAACTAATTCAGTTTGCTGATCTATGATCATATGGTTTTCCTGTAAATTTCAAAATGTTTACACCATTTGAAGATCAACATTTAGGCAGGATTTCTGCACAAGACATTAAAATATCCAAAACAATATGAATCATCTTGATTGAATGTTTCATCAGAATGAATTCAAGTAAACACTACTAGAGTGATTTACTTTAGCATAAAATTACCTTATTAAGCTGATGTATTTACATGCTTTTTTTTTCTTCTAAACAGCTGCATTCATATCTGTGCGAACAATACTCATTGTTCGAGTACTTGGTTTAGACCGACTTACCAATGCCTTTGGATTTATGTTATTATTTCAAGCTTTTGCATATATTGGTGCACCACCAGCCTTCGGTAAGTAATATAAAATACTGAACAGACAAGCAAAAGTAAAAAAAATGTGACCACCTTTCACGTTAAATGCATACACTTTGTAAGAGTAGTAAAATAAAAGCACAAAAATTACAATAATGAGCATGAACAATTTAAGAAGAATAGATTAATTCACTGGTCACGTCTATACATATGTGTATTTATGCTTTCCAGGGTCTAGACAAATAAATAAGTGAATACGGGTTGCACGTTACACTGATTGAGTGTAAACTAAATACAGAATAGTGAAAGTAATACTTCTAAAATGTGATAATGATACATTTTAGCATCGAGTTTGAAATGTTTAACATTTGATCGAAAAAATTATAATACACGTTGTTTAAATTAATTCTTTTCGATTCCTCTATTAATAATTCTTTAAAATGGTTTTATAATGTTAGCTGTAATTGCTTAGTTTGTGATTTTAAATTAGTTTTGGATAATTAGATAAGTATGTGAGTGTATATGTTTTCGCATGCGGAAACATCTTCGCATTCATGATCATAACCTAGCAGTCAAAAGAGATGTTATACATTCATTAATATCGATTAGAGTGGGTTACTGTGCATAGAAATTCAACTGGAAAATTGAGAAAGTAGAAGAAGGGAACACGTTAAATACCAATTAAGATATAAGTATAAAACTTGAGCACTGTGGTAGAGTAGAACTCCATTATAGACAAGATTTTATTTTGATAAATCTCACAGTATTATACAGTAATATTAACTGATGACGTTTCAAGCACAAACTATGCTATGATTATGAGCAATAGTTTGTGCTCTAAACGTCATCAGTTAATATAACTGTACCAGTTAAGAGACATTTAGTCACATGATCAAAGGGTCAATATGGACTCAACAAAACGATCAGTGTCAGTAGAAGTGAACACATTTTTAGGAAAATCCCTACAGACAACCCAGGAATTAATATTTCATTTATAGAGGGTTCTAAAGACCCATTTTATATCGAAATCAGTACCCAGAAATTTGTCTGGAAAAAAATGAAGACAATGAAAGGAAAAGTTAATAGAAAATCAATTCACACAGACCAAATACTCAACCATAACAGCAACAATCCAATAATACACAAAAGGAATTGTATAGAAACACTATTCGAGAGGGCCAGGACTCATTACAGCACTTTCACTCTAAGGAAAATTGAAGAAAGATATCTCATGGACGTCTTCCAAAAGAATGGATATCCACGGAATTTCATCAAAAGACATCTACCTCCAAGCTAACCTATCAAAATCAAAGACCCCCAAGGAAAACACAAAGATAATTGCACTAGCATACATAAAAAACATCTCAGAAATCACTGCAAGACTCTTCAAACATTTAGGGATTGACGTCACAGACGAACCAACAAAATTACTTAACTTACCCCTGTGTCAACCAAAAGACTCGACGGCAAAAGAAGATAAAACCAATATCATCTGCAAAATAAATTGTTACAACTTAGGAAAAACACTACATTGACCAAAGTGGACGTCCTCTTCGTCTTTATATGCGTAAACATAAACTAGCCGTCAAAAGATATGACATCGACTCCCTCATATCGCTGCATAGAGACAACCCTGGACTGGAACAACGTTCAAATTTTAGACAGAGGAAACACCAAGAATGGTAGAGAATTTTTAGAAGGCTGGTACCCCAATGAATCGTCAAGTAATAGACACGTTGTGACAGACAAACTTTACTAATCAATAAAAAGGAAATCTCATACACGAAGTGTATGTATCAAACTTCAGGCGAAGGAAACAATCAGTACCAATACAAGTAGCCTAGAGGGTGTGAAAACACACAAAAAACAACCAATCACGTTCAATGTGACCTACCAGGAGAGATGACTTATAAACTCATGACGAAATGTAAAATCTCACTTTAAATTGAAGTATGCGCTGAAGATGTTGTCTAGTTGGTCAATGAAAGCTTCTCAAATAAACCATCCAGCTGAGAGAACACAACTATACCAAAATCGAAAATGAATGCTTCGCATCTCAGGGAAGATGACAACATGAAATACATAGTACTTATATCCCATACAGCATGTTTAGTGACTAATATAGCATTTATACTTCTTTTCGAGTACGCAAATGATGTCTATCTGGGTGAAGACACTGATGATACTTCAGGACTGGTCTGCAGCGTGTTGACCATTACACTAATTTGGAAATTCTCATCAGCCTCAACATATTGACTGCTACGGAGTTTCAGCTTCTCTTCAGGTTACTTTGTAGTTACTTTGTAGTTACACTAGAATGTGTAATCGATAAGCTAACTATGAAACGTTTGTTTTCTTTGGTTGTCGTGAAAATTTACCACTAAATAACTTTTCTATATATTGTAAAAAAAGTGTGCGAAATCTAGTGAACCGTTGTTTTTCCAAAACTTTATTGTCATTTAGTCATTTTGTGCTTTTTATACCCATTATCCTGATTTCTCAGTTTATTGAGATGTGAAATTAGAATATCAGTCGAAAAGATCGCCTGGGGTATTTTTCTCTCATGTTACTTATTTAAGAACACAGTAGTATCAGAATAGGTTCGTATTTATGCTTTGAAATCAGTTTCTGTTTACCACGGTCATCGATTTCGGCCCATTTAGCGGAATTATTAGGACAATTTGTTAGAAATATGGGCGAATACAACTCAACTATACATTAGAAAAGTCTCACTTTAAAATCTTCTGTTAAGACAATTTATTCTTAGCGTAGCGTTGCAAAAGTATTCACAAACATGGAGAAGGAAAACAAAGCTGACACTTCATCATTCAAAAAAGTCGTAATTAAAGATTAATCGTCAGTAATACAATGGATTATGTTTTACACTCTTTAACAGTGACTTCACTTTGATTATTTAATTTCTATGTATTGATTTATATTTGCCTTTCTTTTACTTTCAGGTGCTTTGTATGATCGACACAGAACTTTGATTTAATCTTCATTCTTGGTGGTTTATCAGTCTTAATCTCAGGTGTACTGTGTTTCCCATTGGTTATAGTATCCGACTGGGAAAATAGTAGAGCTGATAAGAAGAGAGAAAAAGAAGCCAATTATGATGACAATACTGGTCATAGTTTATATCCTGTTCGATTACTCAGACGTATACGTGATTGGTTCAGCAAGCATCATCGGTGTTCTAAGAAACCAACCATTATATATTAATGTCGAATGCCATCTCCATCCTTTCCTCTTTCTTTCTCTCTCTCTCTCACACACTCTGTCTGTCTGTCTTCTTCTTTCTTTCATGCGTGTATAGCTCGTGTATCAATCGAAGAGGTTATTACCCTGATTCATTATCACTATAAAACACTCCTCAATCAAGACAACTTTTTCTTTTCTATTTTTTAGTTGTGAAAAGATAGAAAACTGAAAAGACAAATAAATAATTTCAAAGATGATAAATAAGTTGGTTGAAAGTATTTCGTTATCGTTCTTACAATCATTTTTCCAATCATCATCATCATCATCATCATCATTACCATCCTCATTATTATTACTATTATTATTTTTTACATTTCTGAAACAAGATTCTCTTCTTACACTTAAGCAACATTAGCTTTACACAATCAGAATTTTATTATGTTTCAAATAGGCAATGTTGATATTTTGTGCATATTCCAGTGTTTCTTAAAAATACTTCGTTACAATATCAAACCCTTTTTTTCATTCTTCACACACACACACACACACACTACTGAATGAAATATATGTGCAGATTTTCAACTGAGTATTCTTCTTTTGTTTTGATAAAGTGATGTGGGAACATCATCACTCACTGGGAAATGCAAGTAAATCCAGATGACGAGTCCCAAATAGGACGAAATTCGCATCCTGGACTCCACTGCTAATCACCATCCATAAATTAAAAATCACTAACATAGGTTAACAAATAAGGAAGTTTTAAAATAAGTCTTTCTGATGAATCGTGTCCCTTTATTGTTTTTTGGTTTGTGTAATAATTAACTGACCGCAAAGTATTTATTTAATTATGGAACAAACTACGGCCAATTGTTATAAACTCACCCGAATAAAATAGACAAAAGTTTGCTAACTGTGATTTGATTCATTTTTCGAATGGCTTTGATGGGTTTCCACTCTGAAATGATAGAGAAGATTTGTAGCTCAGGTGGATGATTAGCAGTTAGTAGTGTTCTTTGAGATGCTTAGCTTATTTGCGGAGTTTTCATCGTCCTTCTGGACAACATCTTCAGCGCAGTATTTAAGATAAATTGAAAAGATTTAAATTTTTTCATGAGTGGTATAATTGCGTCTACCGGTAACCATGTTTACATATGTATTGATCATTTTTTATTGACTTGAATTTTAAACTTTCTGGTCACATGATTACTTTTTATTAGTTGGTATATTCGGTCTATATTAATGTGTTTGTTAATTGCATATTCGTTTGAGTATCAGGCTTCTAGGAATTCTCTGACAGTACCTTTGGTGTTTCCTCTGTCTAAGATTTCGACATTATCCCAATCAAACTGATGTCCATAATTATCTATATGCATTGATATGAAATAATATATATCATGTCTTTTCACGTCTGATTTGTGTTCCTGGATTCTGATTTGAAGGGGACGCCCACTTTGGCCGATGTAATGTCTGTTACAGTTCAAACAGTTTATTTTGTAAATGGTGTTAATTTTATCTTCTTTTTCTCTTGGATCTTTCGGTTTGCACAATATCGAATGAAGTGACTGAGTTGGCTGGTTTGTGTACTATATCTATTTCAAACAGTTTCACTATTCTATCTGTTATTTCAGATATATTTTATTTACATGGTAGAATGAATTTCCTTGTTGTCTTTGATGATGGTTTCTTGTTGGTGTTGTGACTCGATTTTAAACACTTTTTGATGAAATTGTGTGAATATCCATTCTTTTTGAAGACAGCTGGTCAGCAGGTGTGTTTCCTCCATTCTTTTCAACACTGGAGTGCTACAATGTGTTTGAACTCTTTTAAACAATGTCTGCACACAGTTTCTATTGTGAGTAATTGGATTATTGCTACTATAGTTGATTATTTGATCTGTGTGCGTTGTTTTTCTATATACTTGTGTTTCTAAATTCTCCGTGTTGGTTCCCCTGATTAAGACATCTAAGAAGAATGGGATTTTCATGTCTGATTCTTTTGTGAATCTGATGTCTTCGAAATTTTTGTTGATTAACTTATGGGTATATTCCAAATCATTTCTTTTAATTATTACAAATGTATCATCAATGTAACGTACGCATACTTTTGGTTTAATTATAGGTAGAGCTATTAATTCTAATCTGTGCATTATGGCTTCAGCTATTAATCCTGATATGGGTGACCTCATCTGTGTTATCTGTTAACTTTCCACTTTCTTTGGTGTACAGTTAGAAAAGTGTATGTTTCAGTGGAATACACCATCCAGTTAAGTTATTTAGAACTTGGAGAGTCTGTCTGATCTTCCAATTTCAGCGGACTTAGTTCATCGATAGAGAATGTTTACAAAAGTCTTTGTCCATTTGCCTTTAGAGTTTTGTTACAATAGGAGATCGAAACAGGTTATTCTCAAACCTGTGAATAGATACATGTGAAACATATAGGAGTACTGATGAAAACTGATTAAAACCCATCAAAGATATGAGGAAAACATACAGAATTCTTCTGCTTACATAACTTCTGAAATACCAAAATTGACATTTGAACAAAGCTGTGCACGTTTCGGTGCTTTTTATTTTGACGCATTTGTACATACTGCATGGTATAGTCAGATTATTTATTTATTTTATTTTTTATTTTTATTTTTGATTACAGCTTGATTCCACACCGTATTTTTGTACCGTATTAGAGGTACAAACAAGCAACACATAAATTTGTTTCACATAATCAAAGGCATGTAAATTTATGTGGAAAAATTAAAAAACATTTTCCAAAATTCTATGTTCCTTTCTGTCTGATAATAATTTTTTTCTATTTTCCCGCTCATTTCAGCACAAAACATTTTGAGATCATGTGACTTGTTTGCTTTTCTTTCTTGATTCTGTCCAAATGACAAACAAAACAACTTAAACTTCTTCAAGAAAAATAATGATATTTTGATATGACCTTGTCGCATCATACTGTCTGAAAGTGAAAATATTAAAATCATCTGAAATACTGGAAGGCATTCATTCTCTCTAGAATATCGACCTGTTTTCATCAGTCAGTCTTTACTTGTTTTTGTTTATCTTATATCTAGTTTCATTTGGTGGGATGAAGCTACTTAAACTGGACACTAGTAACTAGTGTGACGTATCTAGTTCTTTTTTTGGTGCAGACTGAATTCTATCAGTCAGGTTTTGCAATGTGGCCACCATTCTAGGTAGCTCGCCATCACCGTGCACGTTGATTTGAGAATGTTAGATAGTTAGAGGCAATTGGCAGGAAGCCTTGGACCTAGATTTTGTGCTAGTTGGCACTCATCAGCAAGGCGTATCTTCGACCTAGAAGTAACTCATGTTCCTTCTGAGATTCAAATCAATGTACACCGTGATGGCGAGCTATCTAGAATGGTGACCACATTGCGAACCTAACTGATAGAATTAGGTCTGCACCAAAAATAAAGCTAGACACATCATACTAGTTACTAGTGTCAAATCAAAGTATCCGCTACAGTCTTACGGGAGGTCAGTCGCGAGTCCAAATAGCTCAGTGGTAACGTCTCTAACTGCAGGCGGCACTGGGTGACGTGGGTTCGAATCTCAGAGGGACGAAGACGAGTTCCTTAAAGGTTGCAGATACGCCTTGCTGACTGTCAAGTGCCAGCTAGCACGAAAGTCAGGTCCAAGGCTTCCTGTGGCCGATTGCTTCCAGCTATCTAATATTATCAAATGAAGCTACTTAGTATGCAAGCACAAAATAAAAGAAGAAAAATGGCACCAGATTTTTCTACATGTGTTCCTTTACTGATGTTGATGTTTCACTTCACAATGAAGACGCTATATAAAAGAATAAAGTAAAAAGAACAATACTTAAAGCCTCTTTTTCATCCTTCTAGTTTCCAAGTGGAACATATGGCTTCAAACTTGAAGTAGGGCCAGGGTTTCTAGCCGTGTGCAAACCTTTTCTCTTTATCAGGCTTACTACTTAGGAGATGAAGTTTAGGAACGAGTTGTCTGGGATAAGAAACCGGCCCACGTACGTGGTTGATAACCATTCTACCATAGAACCAGCGTCTTTAATTAACATCAGTTTAAAAGTAATTGCAAGGGAAATAAAAATGGGATTAATTTAGCTGACAGATATCATCTAGGTCTTTTATTACGCAACCATGCAAATTAAGATTCCTTATCCACATTTAAGTGGTATAATGAAGGTATAAAATAAAAGCATATTAGGGATATAATCACCAGATAAGTTTGTTTATGATGGGTATAATATAGTGATAGTGAAACAAAAGTGTCTGCATAAGCACAGTATAATTAGTAATTCTCCATTGTACCACTGACTGATTAAGACTGCGTATTAATCGGGTGTTGTAATCCACTTTGTGTTTTAGATAAAATACATGGATTCACGCATCAACAAGTTCCTATTAACTGTTTTTACGCTAATAAATGATTAAATTTGGCTCATTTCCATCGTTATTTGTCATTATTAGGACATAAACTTAGTTCATTATGGGCACCGAGAGATAGGCACAGAAAATCTCATTGTACAAGGACCTGGGATACTGTTCGGAAGCCTAGACCAAAGCAGGTGGTTGTCTTAAGGGGCTACAACTGGATCATTTGACTTGAAGTTTCATCCATAATGAAGTGAAGCAGCTTCAGGAGCTGCAATCCTATACTTACGAGTGACTCGAACATGTTCATAAACCATTCTACCTTTTCGGATTGTTTGAGCCGCTGTATAACATAGATTTCGAACCAAAGATTTATAACCCATTAGATAGACCAGCATACCCACCATTCCAGTTGTAAGCCCCAGGCGTTTGCATTCGCTCTTTCACTTTTGTGAGGAACACCCGCGCCGCGTGAAGGCAGTGAATACGACTTGACTCAAGCAGAGTATGAACGTATAGCCGAATGAGAGCATTTTGAGAGAAAAACCGAAGTCTGCTAACCATTGGCCGTAACTTGTCGTTTACTGGGCTGATTTTTCGTAACCTGATTTTATATCCGATTCTTGGACACGATATTTATTTCACTCCATTCGGGTTAACAAATAAAAATAGCTAATCTTATATGTAGTTGGAATTCAGCAAATATTAATTAAAATCGACACCTTCTAGTCTCGCAGTTTATGTTTTCAAGACAATAGAGACATCGTGTTTAATTTATTCAGTATACTTGTTTTTGAGAACTAGATAATGTTTCCGCGTATAAATTGTGGACAATAAATTGTCCCCCATACAACATGTCCTAAAATTCATTCATATACACACTTTTTTTGTATACTGAGCAGTAGTCTACGACACTTTGAACGCTACGGGTGGGTAAGCTGTATTTCTTGTTTCCTCTTAAGTTTCCAATTGCAACACAAGCAATCCAATAAATGAGGCGTGTTTTTATATAATTTCTCTGTGTCTCATCAATTAAAAAAGTGTCTGACTGCCTGCTTCTGTTCACTTTTGACGCCATATTCAAATTTTCCATCAAACAATCCACATGTGGTTTTGTTGACAAAAGTTTACAATCTGTTGGAAATGCTTTTTTTTCGTGATGCTCCAAGTTTCAGCAAGTGAGTTACATAGTCCCGAATAAAGATCTTTAGCTCGAAATGCTACAAGGTTATGCCATTATCTGACATTTTTATTCAACACCCATTCAAACTTATTTCTTGTTATGAAACGTAAACATACCAATAAAATCTCAACATTTCTAAGATTATAGTCATACTTCTGAAGAAATCAATGCTAAGCGATGTAGTCATATAGTTAAATGCTCAATATATATGTGGTCATTCTTTTTCTGATTTTCTACATACTCTGGGACTATTTAAGTAGCCCTATAATGATGATATCTGGCTTGGCGCTCAAATTATTCCAGGAAATTAGTAGTATCTATGGTCTGAAAATTAATAAACATACTCATTCATTATTTGAAGAGGAATTTCCGTTATAGAGAAGCACCTACTTACAAGTAGCGTATATTTTGGCACTTAATTTTTAAGTGCAAATAAATGACATTCAATTGGGAATGTATTTCTACCACAACATAAATTGGAAAGAAAGTAGTTTGGAAGGTTGTTTGTGGCTCTCTTTTGTTCATATCGACGAAGTCTTTCAACGGATGTTATCATTAAATTTACAATACAGGTCAAACTGTGTACAGGTGAAGGTCACAGATAATGTGTAAGGAGACGCAAAAAGTGTGGGTAAGAAAGATAAAGAGAGGAAAAACAAGGCAAAGAAGGGGTTTGAAAATATTATGAAGTAAATTGGTCCTTGGTTCTAAATTGGATTACCAGGGCAGGTTTAAGGTGCCTTTAAGTCGATACATAAAACAAGGTTGGGTCACATACTTAAATTCATTGAAGCCTTAGCCATAAAAAGACTTAAACCTGTCTTATGCGTCCAAAAGTTATTTGTTATCACCTTGAACCTGCCTTGGTAATCTAATTTAGAACCAAGGACCAGTTTACTTCATAATATTTTCAGACCCCTTCTTTGCCTTGTTTTTCCTCTCTTTATCTTTCTTACCCACACTTTTTGCGTCTCCCTACCCATTAAATTTGCGAATGAACTCTTCTTTTTAAATATTTCGAAATCAGTTGAATCACTGTATGTTTTAGCTGAATATACTCACTGGGAAGTCGTAGCACCCTTAACTCCGTTGGCGTAAGGGAATACATACAACATATGGCAGTCCTATAGCTGTCCCATAATGCATAAGTATCTTATTAGTGGATAAAAGTTTGCCATGGCGCTCCACTGAGATTCGAGCTAGTTGCACTGATATCATTTGCTTGTCAGGAAAAGATTCATTTTTAAGGTAGTATGATGACGTAATAATGCACCAAGAGTTAGTTTAAGTGATTTATTATTTATTATCAATTGACGAGGCTGTGAAGTTACATCGACTGAGATGGTTAGGACATGTGTTACGTATACCTAGTCATCAACTTCCTCGACTGACGGGCAATGTTAGCTGACATAGGGTCAGGCTGGAAAACAGCTAGCGAGGGTTAAACCAAAACATGGCACCAGTTAGTGAAATTTACAACAGTTAGTTCAAGCCACGTAGGAAGGTGTAGAGTTCCTGACTGGTTGGGGTCCTCGGGACGGTGAAAACCAATGGTTTGAGAAAATTAGTGATATGGCTCAAAATCATTGTCATTGGCGCAGATGCATCCATTCCTTGTGACTTACGATTTCCAATGAAATCATATTTTTCTTCGTTATTACTATTCCTTTGTCTCACACCTCTGTTTGTTGTCTCTATTCTGCATTTGTTCTACTTTGGTCTCTTGCTTTGTGTTCTACAAGGAGTGGATTGTGGTGACTTGAATTGGTGCACATCAGTGCAAAGTTCTATTTCGAAAACGGATAGACAGAATTTATTATTTCAATAAAATCATTCATACAAAAAGTCTATCGGAATTAATACGGCATACAATTTAACTTTAAACAGACATTTGATGGAAGAGCACTTTTAGGAAATAATAATAATAATTATGCTAATTTTTTCAGTTCGGAATCCTTTCTGGCTTATATCCTTGTAGTAAGCATATAACGATTCTTTCATAGTAGTTAAGCTAACCATTATTCATAAAGCTTCGTAGGCAACCGCTGTGGTAGAAGGAAAAGGCAGTTGGTTATCAGTTATTTCTTTACTTG